CCTCAAACATAACAGCGCACTTGCTGATAGTGATGATGCGGACTGTATACATTCTCCTAAAATGACAAAAGAGCAGCAAAAGTGCCAAATTTGTGTATTAGACTGTCAACAAATTTCCACTCTGGGTGGCTGCATTGACGATGTTGATTGAATCTGAAGGCGCGGCTACTGATGCATTGCCTTCACCGTGCAAGCCTGTGGTGAGAAAAGAATTGCTGTGCAAGCGGTGGTTACTAGCCGAGATATTTCACACAAATAAAATGCTTGACAATTTGTTTGCACTCATGCATTGTGAAGTGCTGTAATGTGCGTGTGTGTGGTGTGTGTATTGTTTTGTGTGTAGCAAGTGAAAGTAAATTACGAGAGCCCATACAGCAAGCAATGTGTCATAACACCGATTAGTATGGTATTGCCTTTGTTTTGCAAATGAAGTCGTGCCTGTTATGAGATTTTCGTCTTCATGTATTAATGCTGGTTGGTTCTACACTTCCTCAAGCAGGGTGTTTCATTTGGAGGAAGGAGGAGAATGTGGAGTTAGCAATTACCACATTCACATGCAGATTTGTCACTGCAGTGCTATAATCGTGTCGGCCTTTTCAGTTCATACTACTCGCGCTAATTCAGTAACAAGCATCCGGGCAAGAAAGTGATGTGGCAGGAGGGAGGGCGTACAATTAAATTTGAAGTGCATAAACGTGGCATTGGCCATAAGTTGGACCCATTCGACTACATTTGATTGTGTATTCCCCCAATAAACAGGGGGGGGGGGGTTATAATGACCACAAAGTGATGCACGATGAGCTGACGGCTTCCCTCCACCAGCGCCAGATTTTCGCAATTTCAATCGTGACCTGTTCGAACAGGTGTTGCGGTGTCGAGGCTCATGCACTGATCATGGTGTTGACGGCTGTTTGGTAGGAATTAATTCCGATTAGTCGGTAATGCGACTTTGAAGCAGCATTGGATGGTGAGGTGGGAAGAGGCAAGTTTGCCTGTCGGCCTCATGGCATAAATTTTCTTGAGTTAATCTTCAACACACTTGTTGTGCTATTCTAATCTCATTCGATCTGCTCTTTCCTTTTGCACTTTACCTCATTACCTTCACTTCTCCCCTCTTCCTTTCCAACACATGGGCAAATTAAATGCCACAGCACTGACACTTGAATGACATGGCGAGTGGCCCAGAGGAGCTATCGAGCCTCGGCCACTATTGAGCAGCCTTTCAGGCTCACCTCCTTCCATCCTACCTCTCACCACATCAGTTGCATGGCACTTCAGCAGAGCTGCGCTTTGTGCCTACAATTGAACTTCACGTCTGCAACTACGGTTACAACGATTACACGCAGTTGTGATTTCGGCGCCTTCCCTCCTCTAGGTCACCATCAATTGTTGACCAAACAATCAATTACTCAATTCATTTGTCAAAGAACTGCACTTCAGAAGCATTTCAAATCACTCTCAATTAGCTGGCAATATGGTACACATTACTTGCTGCAAAAGCCAGTCTGTCCCCAACTCTTCCCTATTCCCCACTCTGGCTTCCACCCACCGCCAGCATTATAGTCGATAACGCCACCTTCCAGAGAATAGGACCCGCTCATGCGTAGGTGGATTCCACACTGACTCAGCTAGTCACTTGCAGCAATTGCCGTGCATTCAGGCCTTCAGCACTGCTCCACTTTTATACGTCCTTGAAGAAGGTACTCGACATTGATATCCGCTAGCCTTACCACCACCAACTCCATCATCCCACTAGCACCAATGTCAAAACGACCACAACTTGCTCCTACTTGGAATTCCTCTTCCCCCTTTGGGCCTTCCTCCTCAAATGCTACTAATAATCATCTTTCCTTCCCCGGTCTCCATCTCCGCTTTCTCCGTCCTCATCTCCTTCACCGACTCAGCCGCCACTAGCTTTTCCTATCCGTATCCACTATTCCAACTACCAACAATACAATCATCTGCCCCCTCTTTGACAACCAATACCCCCTAATTGACGACCTTTTATGAATTGCGCCCCACTACCAACACCACTCTCTCCCAATCATTTTGTCCATGACGATGGTAAATGCTTCCTTTCTTTCGCCTTCATTCTGCTTCTTTTGCTCACAGCTAATCGTCCGCATTTCCACTCAACCTCTCTCACTCTACCCAGGTCTCATCTGTGGCATGCAATCGGAGGGTAATCTGTCGATGACGACGACAATGAGTTAGCGAAGGAGGTACCGGAGTATGACCTGTCGGATTAACTGGCCGAGAGTCAGTGCTTGGATATGAATGTACAGATGGAGAGGTGGCAGGTGTCACCTTCCTGGGGAGGGATGCACTCCTATCAGTGTCACGTCGTCATCTCCAAGCAACAGTATCTGCGCTGCTGGCACACCAACTATCGGCCACTTATGCCGCAACGGAGAAGATGCAGGTGGATGTGAATGTGGAGGATGTGGATATGGATGTGGTTATGATGAGGGCGCACTCCCTTTAAACAACCAACTGAATGCTTGCACGGCTGATGAGGTGTGCCTGTGCAATGCTCTAGTATTTTCATCACTAGACGTAGAAATAAGTCAGTCGGTCCGGCATGCAGCCGTCGGTGCTGCGCCTACTGCCGCTACTACGAGCTGTAGCTAGTCGATGCTTGCAAAATGGACGCACAGATAGATGGATGAGGAAATGGACAATTTGAAGAGTGCAGACATAGACGTGTAGATAGATGGAGAGATCAAGCGGTGAGTAGGTGGATGTTAGGGAGAAGGGGAACCATTGCATGTCTTAACTCCTCAGGTTAAAACTCCTTTACTCCACATCGCCTCGTAATCCTTCACTCTCCCCCCTCCTTCGGTAAGTTCGCAGTCTTTCCTTGCTCTTTGTCCTGTTTTCAACACCTCTCTCAATCACCTGGACTCTCTTTATCCCCCTCCTTCTTTTCGCCTATTCTGGTGGTCCAAACAACTGCGGAAGCGTCTGCGTTATCACTTTTCCTCCTGCTACTCCACCCAATCCCATTCCGACTGACTCTTCATTGACTACCTGATTTATCTCCTCATGATTTGGCTACTTGGCCAACTGACTGTCTGACAGGTTGATTGATTGATTGACTAGTTGACTGAATCATCCACTTTGCCATATTCACTTATGAAATTTTTTTAATTGTTTGACTGATTGTCAATAAAGTGATCTTATGCTTCAGTCAGTAGCTGCACTAGACTGTAAGGGACTGATGTCATCCTAGTAAGAGGAGATACCACAGCACTGGTCCTTGAATGTCTACCAGGGTGGTGCGATGTCCAGCTCCCCGATTGGTGAAATCTGTGAAGCGATGAGAGTGGAGCAAATACGTGGATATGCTGAACTGGTGCATCCATGTGGATAAAAGTTCAGTAGTGAAGGGAATCCACTAGCTATCAAGGAACCAGAATGATAAAATTATGTCATGCTAACCAAGTCTGACCCAATACTGAAGGATTGTTAAGAGAAGGAGGAGAATTTGTGAATTGCAAAGGTAAGGCGAGAAGTAGATGAGCAGAGGGGGAGTAAATGTGAGATTGTCAGGGTAAAGTGTAGGTGGGTGGTGGGAGAATGATGAAAGGCGATGAGGAGAAGGCGTAGTAGGTTGTTGAGGTGCAAATAACCACTCCAGTTCAAAGAACATTTACATCCTTCTCAACACATCTTCCAAACAAAACAAAAAAAAAATTGGTTTCATTCCAAATTACTATTGACAATCCTTCCAGTCTGGCCATTAGTCACCTGACATTTTTAGGTCAAAATTCGAGAAAGAAAGCAATTTTACTATAAACCACGAAATCATTGAGCGATTGTTATACACTTACTCGTCCTGTGGGTGATACCGACTTCCCAGCCCCTCCAACTAGTGTCCGGATCCATGTCGCACGACGCCTTTAAGAGCACCTTGCCGGGGTGGGGGGCAAGGGCCACAACCCGATTAGTTGGAAGCTTTGTGATGGCTTTGCATTATTTGCGTAAGTACGATGAGCGGTGCCACCACAGGTGGTAGACGGCGAGGCAGAGAGGGAGGGAGGATGGGAGGGGAAACGTTATTTGTCGTCCTCAAATCGGTGCGGGGAAGCGACCGCCCTACATCCATCCCCCCCTTCCCCCTTTCCCAAATGTGCACACAGGCACCCACGATGGCGCTGGTAATCACGCAACGTTTTTAATGTTTATCTGTGCCGGAGAGAGGATACACGAGCCGACTCCGGCAATGAGGTCACCACGAGGGAGTTGCTGAAACGGCTCAATGCCATCAGGTGTTGCAGTGATGATAGCTTGTAGAAAATGCATAGATTAGTCCCTCTTAGTATGGCCAAAACGGAAGCTTCCATTTAAGAAGACCAGTGGACAGATGTGTCTACTGGTGATCAATCGAATAAGGCGAAGTCGGCCAACTTCTTTAACACCCTTGCTGTTCTTACGTTGATTACACCGATTTTGTGTAGGCAATTCAATGCCCGACTCACCTCTACAGGTGTGGGGTTAAAAATCACTCCAGTTTGCAATAACTTCGTAGAGAACACAAAAAAACAGTAAAGAATTGGTCTTTATAATTCCCTGTGATTAGCCTCCGTCTTGCCTCGAGCGTCATTTTTTGGTTTGGCTTGGTTAGTCTTTTCTATCAGCCAGCACTTCAGTGTTCTAATGGGATTAACCCAACCACTTAATTTGGTGAGAATTTAACGAATGTGAAAAATTCCTTTAAAGACCATGGCTTGAGGCTAAACGTGGGTCAATTTCCATACCACTTCCTACTGTGTTGTCATTCCGGCACCTTCCAGTCGCCTTTGCCATGGCCTCAACTTCTTCCGAATTGAAAGCCATCATGCTGTCAAATTCCACTCCTAATTCAAAAGCAGTTGATAACCCTGTGGTGATTAATGGACTCAGATTGTTAAAATCCGGTCTCTGGTTATGCTGATGGTGCAGTCAGTCTCCAAGCGTCCAGCCATTTACTGTAGGGGCCTTTCTCATCGCCTCCTGATAGTCTCCGGCGTTTGCCCTCTAAGCTATCAACAAAATTAGACGCATTCTTTGTGTGGGATGAAAGCTATCAAACATCCTTCATCATGTTGTTACCGCCCTAGTTCCCGTGTAACGAGGCATCGAAGTCTACCAACCATAAAGGAAGGCTAGGAGACAAACAACATTAATGGCCATTGCGGGACACCATATTACCGTAACTTAAACCAAATTATGAAATATTTAAAGAGTTGGTTTGATCATGCATTTAATTACAGCCGCTGCCGCTAGCCCTGTCAGCTTGACAAGCATTTGACATTTGTGGCTACTTCCATTGAGTAGTATTGCACGCACTGTGGTTGTTAATCTTAGTGACAGTAAATGTCCTGTAAAGATTATTTTTAAACCCATAAAATCCAGCCAAGTAACTAAAGTGAATTGATATTTTGATTTGTAGGGTAAAGATCACTTTCTACTGACTGGACATTTTGCAATAGCGATTGATGCTTTGGAAAATTTCTAATAAGAATGTAGAAAATGGAGTTTAAAATAGTGACCTGCTGAAGACATTTTGTTGGCTTCAAAGAAATTATAAACTCCGTGATTATGGTCATTTTGATTGTACCTTATTTATTATAATAAAAGTGGCCCCCAAAGAGACAAAGGGAGGCTCCAGATGTATTAAAACTTCCATCTCGGAGACTTCCGGTGGGTGCACTTCCGTACCAAGACTGGCAGCATGACAGATGTGAAGGTCACACATCTGATCCCATTGACGTTGATAAATCCCACGGTTCCAGAAGAGAACACATTGAATTTGTTGACTGTTAAATTCCAATTAAATTGAAGCAGAGAAGGATTTTGCCAGAATCTCCATTTTACAGTGGAGTGCATCACTTTCCATAAGGCCCTCCTTCCATAATTGACTGTCCCTTGGGTAAAACTATCGCATTCACGTCAACAAGGGTGATCATTTAAAGGCTCACATGGGTGCTTCCTCCTTGCCGAATGACAGACTGCCATGATCCAGTGTACGGACGGATGCATTAACTACATTTAACTTGGGCAGCTGATAATTCTTCAGAAATTTCTCCTTACGTCGGAGACATTCTGCTTTCGTTAGGATAGCATAAAATTTTCCACTGGTGGACATCTACGCCTGGAGATGAATCCGCCCTTGTCCTTAAAATTTGTGCTTGAGAAAATTTATCATCTTGAGTGAGATTGGACACGTGTTTCTTTCCCATATATGAATTAAGCACCCGCTCACAAATGGGAAAAAGAAATCGCCTGCAAAATGCCGGTAGATGTGGATGCGAAGTAAATGAAGTATTGCAAGTCTACTGGGGCACACTCATAAACGCAAAGTAGGGGAGAAAGGTGTATCAGTTAATAATTAATGCTCTCCAAATGTCGCAAGGGCTGCCATTTCGTACGATGTCCACGTTATGACCCCATACAGGTGCGTCGTAGGTGAAAGGTCAATAGGGTGCCATTTGACCAAGAATCCCAATTAAAAGGAACGACACCTGATGTGCACTGCCACTACGTGCCTGGGGCACTCCGATTGGAATTATTAGCGAAAATTACATAGCCTTAATAGTAATGAGGATCATGATTTTAGTGGTTTATCAAGGGTGGTAGTATAATCTAAGGGAATAAAGCCATTCGGACTGGTACTGCATTCTGCCTTTCCGGTAGCTCCTCTTCCTACGCGTTCATTAATTTTTCAGCTTCGCCTGCATCATCTATGCACAGTGCCTAAATTTTGCCCTATATACCACTTACAATTGTTTTAATTCACATTTGTTTCCAAAACAATCATGTCTCATGTAAAACTTTTCGATAAACTACAAATTTTTTGTATATTTGATACATTGTGGTGTTATAATGTGTTGTTTAACTGTGTTATACCATGCTAGTGCTTGAGTCTCTTTAAGCTTTCTTCAATTCTGTGGCGTAGCCTTCAGTTCATACTAGTACCCTCCTGGATCTGCTGTGCGTCATTATATAATAATGTAGCTTACCGCGACTTCGATGAGAACTTGAGGAGTAACAAAACAATAAGGAGCATTTTTAGTTTTATTATTCAAGATACATGCAGTTATACCGACATTCGAGTTTTAAGCATCTTATACTGCCATTGGATGTTATTACTGTATCCTTAAATGCTGTTACCATTAATGGGAAATGAATACTTTACCTAAAAGCAAGAAGAATGCCAGATTTAACAAAACATTGACTATAATTTCAAAAATATTTTGGTGCTTAAAAATATGTATTGGTTAAATTATAACCACTCTAGAATTTTTTCAACAGATGCACACTTTGCAATAATTGCCCAACACCTCAAATATGCCTTTGAGACAGCCGAATTAACAACACATGGTCTAACCAGGTGGTTGCACGTGGGGAGGTGATTCACAGGCACAATGTGTGAGCCCTTTTAGGGGCTACACACGAATTCTCCAATTCTGCACACATTCTAGCTTAATTTTTATTCTTGTTTGACAAAACATGTTCACTCAGCTGTCAGTTTTTCATGATCGTCACCACCGTCAGCTTAGTTCGCCGTCACAAATATGCCACATGTAAACATTTGCAGTTCTCATTTAAGCAATACATCAAATTGTTAAGTTTAAAATGATAAAATAGATGCAGAACGGTCTTTGTAGGAAGGAGATTTCACTTATTTTTCTACTATTTGGGTAACTCAACTTTTGGTAGATCGACCATGTATCTGCAGATTTTCCTCTGAGGCCCTGGTGACGGACGGTTCATACATTTTTTTGCGTATAGAGCTTTTTCACTTTTAAGGTAACTTTAGTTAACGCTTTTTACACTGCCTGTTGTCGTTAAAATCCTGCAAATTATCTAACCAATCGCAATACTTGTCGCGGCAGCTCGTCATTGGTTACTCGTGGAAAGCGGCATTTGTGCAACGCTAATTGGTCAATGATGGTATTTAACATTCAAAAAATTATACGGGGAAGGATTAATCTAGTATATAACAGAACAGCAGTGTATAAAATACACAACGTAAGTATGCTTAGTCTGGAATTCTCCTACTGAATCCAGATCACTTAAGAGTTGCATCTTCATGAAATACGTAAAGAAATATCCAGTCGATTGCATTAAAACCTTTGGAGAGTATAAATACGGTTCTTTTTATGATTCTCGTCTATCTCTTTTTAGTTCCAAAAAAACTAATGATTCTCTGAGTTCTTGGAGAAATCGAACCTCCTATGCTTGACAGCAACACATTGTCAACCACCTCTTTCAGTCCGTGCAGAATGTATCATCTTCCAGCAGTCTTCACTCGCAGATGCTTCGGATGTAAAAAGCCAATTGAAGCCTCAGGAGCAGGCGAGGCACAATGCTACCATCTGCAAACTAACGACGGTCGCGCTTGGCATGCTGAGTGTCTGAACTGCTCGTGGTGCAAGTGTCCTCTTTTCAACACCAAAAGTGGACTTTCTTCTCGGTGTTACACCAGAGGTGGCCAGGTTTATTGTCCTACTGATTATTTTCGGTAATTTATTTGTCCTTTAATTGTCAGAACTTGCGTCGGTTCATGTTAAAGCCACTCCATTTCAGATGGAAAGAAAATCCTTTAAAGGTTAAAGAATCTTAATAGTGTCTGGAAATATTGGATGTGAGAGAAAAATAGTTGTTCCTCAAAATCACACCATTTACCATTACATGAGGGTCATTCATTTAAATTCAAAGATTTTGAGTTCATAGAAAGATAGAGGAAAAACGAATACTAATTTTCGTCTAAATCATTTGAAACACGATTGATTACTTATCATGGCCGATAATTACGGCCAGTCTCTGGCCATGAATTCTATTTGTATAATGGATTTTGGCGGTAGCTTCTGATTACTAAAGAACGAACTGGCGAATCCTTACAAAGTGATTTACATACCCGTGGGGTCATCAACTAGGTCCAGATACAACAGCCTGGATGCAGATCTCATGCTTCAAGTGGAATGGAGGCAATTCCTTCCGAGATGCTATTGTCTTCTTAGGATCTTGCAATATATCCTGCTTGCAGATGGTCTAGCTTTGTTGTTAATACTCCCAAGGCATGATGCAACAATTTCCCGATTTTAGAGTACCACATATGCGCAGTATTTGAGGCTTGACGATGGCGCAATCCACGAAGGTTATTGCGTCGATCCACACGTTAAGGATAATTGTAGACCTACTTCGCTCTGTTTATTTTTGCTTTAACTTGTTATGAATACGTGAGCACGGGCTACGACGAATTTTGCAACTTTGTTACTGACCTGTGCGGGTGGGCAGGGCATACGGTGTACCTGCATGTCTTCTGGCTGAGTGTTGGGACACGCAGGGTTTCCATTCCCATGTATTTGCAATATTTTGGTCGGCCATGACCCTACTGTAATTAGTAGCATATTTAAAGTCCGTCGATACGTAACATTGGCCATGCGAAGAGGAATGAAGGTGAGAGAGAAATCAGACCCTTCCTAGATTGTTTAGAACTTATGTACGAAAAAGTTATCTTCTATATAATCTTCAGGTATTGCCCATATTCCCATCAATTTGCTTTGCCACTTTTCATGGCTTACTTTTCATTAGATTAAAATTGCATCTGTGATTTTTCGCTGAAATTGCTTTTCTTTCCTTTTCATGCCTTCTCGTGGGACACACCCATAATATTTTACAGATTGCTTCACTAATCACTAGCTCGATCTTCTGTTAAAATAAACTGAGTTTGTTTTGCTCATTGCAACAGGTTTTCGCCATTGATGAATGAAATCAAAACAATACCAAAATGTCTGAGCTGTCAACAGCCAATCAAAACTGGAGAACAAGTGATTCACAGTCCTCTTCACACCTTCCATATTCACTGTTTCTCTTGCGACGTTTGTGGAAAAGATCTTCTTCCAGGCCAGCCCTACACCCTCCATGCAAACTATCCTGTTTGTCTGGAGGATGATCTTCGAATAAGACGAGCCAATCAAATGGAACCGTGCCTTCAGCTCCCCTATTCTCCTTCACAGGCTTTCATTAGACGGAAACGTGTTCGCACCTCGTTCAACGAACAACAGCAGCACTCTATGCAAGCATTCTTCGCACAGAACCAGAACCCCAATGCTAATGATCTCATGAGTCTTTCCGAGGAGACCGGTCTTGCCAAACGAGTTCTTCAGGTGTGTTTCACTGCTTGATAAGTTGCTGGAATGTGGATCATCCGGCGATGCGAGTTTTTTGTGACAATAATTTTGTTCCTAGGTGTGGTTTCAGAATGCGCGTGCAAAGCATCGACGCATTGGAGGCGGCTCCGACCGAAACACGACGATTTCCTCTGTGGAGGAGTGTGAATAATGTGTAGACTTTTGATCTTGTGGCATTTTTATGTAAATAGACTACCCTTTTCGTAAAAATGCTGTTGAAATGGTTAGCCGGTTTGTGCCGCATTTTGTGATACATTTGTAAATGCAGGCATTTTTACAGAAGCATGCTCTTTTTCCTACTTACTGGTGATTCGTTGTGGGCAAATTAAACACTTATTGTAAGCAACTTTGCCAGAATTTCTTCAGCTGTGTAGCATAGACCCTTCTTAATTTGTTTTAAATAATGCACAGTTGTTTGCGGACAGATTAAAACAGGAAGATGCCTTCTCTTCAGAAATGTCTCAGTGAGGATTTCCTCTCTCACCAAACTGAATCCACCAATCAGAACGGAACGTCACAGGTCATGGTCACTCCCCTTGATGGCATGAACTCCCAGCTACGTATGCCCTTTAGCAAAAGTGGCAGACCCATACATTTAAGTGCCTACCCTGTCAGTTGTTTGGACACTAACTCGGTACACATTTCAAAGAAATGAGGGAAAAAGCATTCGGAATGAGGATACAACAGGACTCAGCACCCCCAGTCCGCTGCACTGTGACCTTTTCAACTACCATCCTCTCGTGCTCTACAAATAGGGTTAAGGGTTATTTTTAATTTTTAGTAAAAATGGTCAGAGTTAAACTATCAAAACCTTATTTGTCTGTAGCCGCACAAAACCGCCTTCAAACTCCTAACTCTATCCGCAGACTCAGAAGTTTATTATCCTACTGAGCTGTTGTAAGTAAATTTGACCTCTCAAGTCGTAGTCCCTTGAAGCGTCCAAAAATACTTTATCACGACTATCTTCCTTTTGTCGTCTTCGGCTTTTTTTTGTCTCTTGATGTGATATAGGTAGCATTGCTTCGAGGATACCACTGTTTCCACTAGATCGTGGAGAGGTACGTATTAGAGTGGTTTGGTGCCTCAGTTGACCTTATCTTCGAAAAAAAAATAAGACTCAATACGTAAAATTGTATCCGCCTTCATGTATTTTCCCCTCCTTGATGAAAACTTGCTGCTGAGATTCAAAAGTAGGGTCATATTCACCCAGAACCTGTTTAATCCACAGAGGTTACGCCACCCAACACAATAGAAGTTGGTATCAGGTGTTAATTTTGCCAAAAATGTTTCTCTTTTGTAATAAAAAACTGCTCTAAATCTTGCTGATTAGATGTGGTTCATAAACTTTTCATTTACTAAAAGAATCACTTCGCCTGAGGCGATTTATGAACAGCGCACACGACTTAAGACGTGATTAAACCAAAGATGGGGAGGTGAAAAGTCACAGAGGCGGGTCTTCCTCATGGTAAAAGTGAAGTTGGGAAGGATTCTGTCTAAATAAAAATTATTTATCATTTAATATCCTTAAACTACCCTAGAAAGATGAAGAAAAATATAATGTTTGGAAAGAATACGTATTGGAGAAGGAATTGAGGCCTCCGGCATGTCCGAGAGACCAAACCGTCCGGCTGTGGTACGATGGTGGTTTTTCCAGTTACCAGAACCGGGAGTTAGACAAACAATCAACGTACTGTATAGCCTTTCCTCCTCTTTTGAGTTTTCTCACCTGGGCTACCCTTGATCAACCTCCTGCGTCAGCCATCACAAGGTAATCGGTGCTGCTAGGATGGCAGTCGTGGTAGTCATCAAATCGCAATGCAATTGAGAAAATACCTGACCGCAAGGTCACTGATCCCTCATAGCAATTCTGCCAGATCGAGAATTTTGTTGTGTATGGGAACTATACTGAAGGACATGGGATGTGCTGACCATCACGGTGTCCACTGCTAGTCGTTGAAACACTGTCCCAAAAGCCCAAGGACGGGTTTCAACATAGTGCCTTGGGAGGTGAGATTTCGCGTTCATTCCTCCTATCCACTTTGTTCTTACTTCAGAGCTGCCCAGACATATCCATCTGGGTTCTATCCAACTGGTAGAGGAGTGGAGGAGGTACCGCGTGTTCACTTCTTTGGCTATGTCACGAAAATTTCGGGTGGTTCACGGCTATTGCCACTTCAGTTGTTAATGAATCTCTTGCAGACCACGGGACTGGGCTAGTTGGTAAAATATATGTCGTTTTCAGCCCTTCTGTTAGAGACTATCACATATTCCCCCCTCTACAGCATTTGCATTTCTTGGGACACGAAAATGTTCATCAACCAGCGGTAGAAGAGAGGACAGTTGGCCTTCAATATGGAGTTCGCTTTTTGCCCTTACTAAGGTGACGTCCTGAGACTTTCCTGAGGGCGAAAGAAGGCATAATATTTGAACAGAATATGTATAGAAGGGCTTGGAGCCTACCAGCACGGTCCAGAGACCAGGCCGTCCCGAAGAGGTACAACGGTGGAGTTCCTAAATTGCCCTTCATCGAAACCTAGAGTTAAACACACAATTAAGGTAGTAAAAATCATGTCTTAGAATTTCGATGAGCAAAATAAGTTTCCGGAATATATATCGGGAGAAAAATTCGGTCAGTTAAAGTCCTTCTTTCTATCCACGGCAGCTTTTAAAAGTGTTCATTTTATAACAGTTTTACGAAATTATCAAGAAGTCTGTCACCATCCATGGCAGTACTTTGAAGCATGATATTCTTCCTTAAACCAATGCCCAGGGCCGGAAACGCCATAAAAAATGTCAAAGCTATCGCGTAGTAAAGGTAGGTGCATTCAGTTTATATGTAGTTTACGTCAACTTGGACCTGCTTTTCTAAAATGCAGATATTGCGTTCACAGAGATAGCTAACCCCCCAAGTTGACCTCGTTTTTTTGCATTCCTAGAGGCTACTCAAAATGCTATTTCGATGGCAACGAAAAACACTAACATTATAAGTGAAAAGAGCACATTCATTACTTAAAAGGAAATTAACATGGCATCGAAGTGGACCGGTTGGGTAAATTACACACCCACAGGGTGGTGGCAGAGACCCCAGTGAGGGTTACAGTTTACGAGCCGGTGAAGACGAGGGCGAGTGCTTCTGCAGAGCTAGAACTGTCCGCATCAGCAGCCATGTGGGAAGTCAGAGCTGAGTACCGAATGGTCGTAACAGCGGCGATAACAACGCATACAATAGTCTCAAGCTACTAACTTCTAAATTAGTAGTGTATGTGTACTGAAATATCAAATTGACAAAAAGTCCAAAGGAATCGTGTAACTTGGACATTATAATAGCTTGACCCTTAAGAGCAAGATATAAAACCCATTAAATTAGTATCTCTACGGTAGAATGGGTGGTCTCGTTGACGACCTTGAACTTTTCCATAGGTCACGTTAGGTCGATGAACACATTGACCACGAGGAGAGAACCTAAGCTTGGTGTTCAGGAAACCGCCAAAGATGGCTCTTCTACCTTATAACATGCAAGATTAAGGCAGAAACATAATATTATCCAGCTCTCGCCTCACCATCGTCAACCTCGAATCATACGAACAGATGGTGCTCATGACCTCCGTGCTCTTAAAGTGCCAAACGTCTAGGACATCAATTTCACAGTAGCTACCACTTTCTCCCGAAGCTCCTGTAGATATTCGTTCGAGAGATGCCAGCTGAGACGAAGTTGATCTCTTGATGACTCGATGACTCAGCCACTGATCTCTTCCATCAACTTCTGACCTCCCATGTGGCTTAATTGTTCATGAAGGTCACTTATCCGTGTCAGGTACTACTGACCGATCATGACCTCCAAAGTCCACTGAGTAGACACGGCCCATTGTTCATTAGGAGTCTAAGTCGGCAATATTTGCATGCTCGAATCTAAACTGTCCAATCCGTGGATACCCTGGAATCTAGCTGACATCGTCCATGCGACACCCGATCCGTCTGTCGTCGTCAGCAGTACCTTCGACGACTACTTCACCTCTCCCCTTAACGAAAGAAATAAGAAGCAAGATATTGTTGTCAAAGCAATAATGAAAGATTGTAGTGATTACGGTCAAGGCTACAGCATACATAGCTTCCAATTCCTCATCTCACAAGTCGACAGCAACTATTGGTTGCATTTTCGCGGAGGAAGTGCAGCCCGCAGTGCATCATGCCATTGAGGATGAGCACCGGAGAGGACGAAGGCGAGAGCTTGAAAGACGTGCAGGAGAGCAAGCACCCGCCGACCCTCCACTTCCACACCCGCCCGTTCCAGTGGCAGTCGTGCTGTCCGGTGACCACGCTGCAATGCCTTTTCAACCAAGTGGTACACCTTCATCACTCCCTGAATGCGCTTCTCGCCACTTATTGTGTCACATATACTACCGCATGTCTGTGCACATCGCCCATTCCTTCTAATTGTTGAAGTCTACATCCTTTGCACAGCAGGAGAAGTAGCTCAATGGCCTTCATTTAAACTGGAGTCGAGACAATATCGAAGCCCATCAAATGGCACGAGATGACAAAATGGTAAACTCACCTGCTGATAGCAGAGGCCTTGATGATGATTATGATCCACAAGGCCACCGATTACGTAGACGTCGTCGGAGGTGAAAACGGGGACGGTTGAGTCGGTAGTACCACAACCATTGTCAGTGGTGGTAGCCACAGCACCGTCGGGTGGAGCAGTAGCACTAGCATCGGACACAAAAGTGTCCGGCAACTCGTAGCTTGATTCCGCGCAAAGGTAGACAATCGAAGAGGCAGGAAACAGTTCTCTGTAGTCCTCCTTTATCAAAAACAATGGAGAAAAGTAGTACGCCTCATCGCAATTTGGCTAAATGGTCAGATTTCTGTGCACAAAACTGCATGACTGGGATTGGATGTATTTCCAGAGTTTCCATTACCGTTAAGGGAGATATCTGAGCCCACTTATCGCCATGGAGGCACAAAACTTTCTATTGCCCTCCCACGACAACCATCCAATCATCTTAAAGCAAAGTGGAATCGAAAAAGGAAATGGTGCAACTAAAGTTTAAAAATAAAATATGATTGGTGATAAGGGGAATTACAAATGGTACCATTTTCAAATGAACGTCCCAGTTTTGGGCATCGACCTTATGCAGTCTGGCCAGCGTGCTCTGCTCCATCGGTTCACGCGGCTCCGTGGACTGCTCTATCCCTTCCTCGGCCTTGAATGCGCTCCCAAGACCGGTGATGTAGAGTTGCACCGGCGCTGGAAGGCGGCGATTTGTTGAGTAACAATTTGATATCTGAAGAAGGCTGAATTGTCTCTACTGACTGACTTGTGGAAATCTAGTCAACTCTTACTCACGGTACTTCAGTAGCTAGCAAACAAGAAGGAAGGAGCTCACCTGATGTGCTAGTTTGCAGGTATCTTTGAAGGACATGAGGTGATCGTAAGCGCAGTCCAACACAACGCACGTCCTACACTTCGACTCAGCCATAGAGACTCGAGGTGGTGGTGGTGGTGGTGGTGGAGCTCTTAGCGGAGCGTCTCCAACTGCCGCCACCGCCGACGCAGCCACTGCATCACGTCGCTCCCGTCTCCTCATCTTCATCGCCTTCCTTCTGCCACGTCGTTCCTGAACGCAAAAGTCAAACCACCGACGTCATCAGCGTCAACACCGCTTCTCTTCCCTACGCGCTGCAAGATCCCACACATGCTCATACTGGAATTACTTTAATATCCAAGCAGCCTTCACTACTATCTGTCTAGAAGATTTACGATTCAAGACGCCCCGCATCGCTGTACCAAAGTTATTTATAGAAATTTATGACCAATAGCCATTACCTGATAATTTACCAAAAAAAATTATCGATATGGAGGAAGAAATAATGTTGTTTCTAATCAACCAAGTCATCACAGCCACCAGGAGAAGCACATTACCACACACACACACACACATCTGCCTACCTCCTTTCGCTGGATGTATCGCTCTTGTTTTGAGAGTTTCCGCCTCTTTGGCGGTGGTTCAACATCTCCATTAGAGTTGGTTTCGACTGCTTTCGACAAAGGTGATTTCACCGGCTTGAAAAAAAAGAGAAGTGGGAAAAAGTCCCCTTTTTGCAGTTGTCGGTTCAAGTAAATGCGCATGCGGGGTGAGTAAAGAGACAGCTGACCCACGCATGTTGGTAAACTAGTAGACCGCATGAGGCATCTGGCCAAAAAAAGAACCTTGAGAAGCACAAGTAGTAAACACAGTTAGAAGTAGTTCAGCTGAAAAGACTGCAAGATATCCTGTATCACGACAATGGCAGTTAACGATGAACATTCTTCGCATTGGCACAACCGACGGGTGACAGCCTCCTACCGCCAGTCTAACCAGTCCAGAGATCAATCTCAAATATCTGCTCCGCACTTCACCCAATTCCTCGCAGTCGAAATCCAGCGCTACGAGGTTGGAAAACTGGACCTCTAAACAATACTATCGTTTGCAGGACAAATCAGTCCAATTCGAATGGTTTACTAGAAAACAAGTAAATGACATTCGACTTCTCCATCCTAGTCCCACCTCCAGTCTTCCACATGAGTGGCTCATTTTTCGAGGAAAAGAAACCAGTCCTAAATGCTTACATTTATCAGTCGTTGAAGGATCAAGAGGTCAGTCTTCTAAGGAGAGTTGCGACTGGTAGATCACAGAAAATGAAGTTTGGAAGGAAAACGACATGGAACGAGAAGCACTCACTTTCTCCAACTCCTTTATCTCGTCTGAAAAGGTACCACTGGGTGGAGCTTCATCAGCAACCTCTGTCTGCTCATCCATCTGAAAGAAGCCGATTTTAAATGGACGCTAAGGTCAGCAGTCATAAGGCACACCGCAAATAATTAAAAAGTAAGCGCAAGGGTCACCAATCTGTATATTTACAAGCAGATAAACTGGGATGATGCTACTCATTTTCGGCGCTTAAAGCAGGCCACAAAGAAGCCGATAGTGAGGTCATTTTCAGCCGACGATCGCAAACACCTTGCCATCATTTTTGCGGCATCTTTGTTATCATCTTCAACGAAACCTCGTGACTTCCATGGAGCTAATGGGGTGAAAAGGTTGGGCACCGCCAAAGCCTTTTCCCCCATTCCCTTTGTCCCTTTGTCCTTGCTTTTATTCCAGATAGGCACCAGCTCAAAATCCGCCGCTGCACCAGATTCAAGTAGTTCACGAACCACTGCCTCATTTTCCTGAAAACAAGAAGCAGCAAACTGACAAGCAACTTCACCACTAACAGAAGCGGCAGTTCATAGCAGATTAGTGTCCTTAAAGGTGGCTTGCGAGCTAGAATGTATCTAACAGTATACACGGGAAAGCGACTATTAACGAAATTTAGAGGGTGCATAACAAAGGAGAAAATGCCACACGACTTCACTTGTTGGTAGACCGAGCAAGTTGAGTAGACGACCACCTCAACGGAGGGAAAGGAGAGAGCGTGCCGAAGAATTTTGGCCTGGAGGTTGGCCAATCGCTCGACACGCTCCACCTTGTCCTCTTGCCCCTGGGCCGCCAGCTCTGGCCGCTTGCAACGCAGACCCGAGGCTGAACACGTAGGATCCACAAGAATTGCTGTGACATCTGCAAACTCTGCCTCATTCAGTGGATCGATGGTGAGGAAATCTCGCAAGAAGGCTTCACAAATGACTCCGTTGAAAGCTTTTCTGCCGACTTTCCTGTTCTCTATAACACCATTCACCTTCAAGACACCATCGTGCATTCGACGGAGATTATCACAAAGCTGATGGAATCTGAAAGTCCAAAAAAGACAGGTTAGATTTAACTTCCAGCGTTACTTAAATAATCACTCATGAAATTTGTCAATGATTGTTCATAATATTCAGATTCTAATTAATAAAAATAATTCCACAAACTTCGACTAGTGACCATTATCAGTTTGTCACCTACGCGGGAGAGCTGCTGGTGAAAACGCGACCATGTCTAATGAATTTACTACCCCAAAGGTAGCAGACGTTGTGAAGCAAATCAGCACGAAGGTGGACGACAAGGTCGAGGAACAAATAATTATTGGGAGAATGAACAAGAAAAACAAGACGGCCTTCCTGAAGTAAGTCTCCGAAAAATCGCTTACATCCATTGTATACTGGATGTTCATATCAAACGCAGACTTTTGTTTTACACGCATTAAATGGAGCTTAAATGTGGAGGTACTACATGCAGAAGTGTCAGGTGTGCTCTAACACCCACTGATAGTTGTCACTTATGTCACGTTGAGCGAGGCGGCAGGCAACAGTAGATGAGTACGCATGAAAGTGTGTAGAGATGAAGACAGTTTCTCATGAATAAAGATATGGAATGCACAAGTGACTTCAGATACTGCGGTACGATGATAGGACGCTCGGCTGCAGTAAAACATTAAAATATTGTAAAGAAACCAAAGACGTCCTGTAAGCATTCAGTGTATGGAACGCCTGCCTGATTCCGAACGCAGGATCGACGCATAGCCTGCGGTGAAATTGAACGAGACAAATCCGCCAGTAGAGACAATGGACATATTCACTAGAGAAAATCCGCCATCTCGGAATGTTGGTTCACTGAGTATCAAGACATTTACCAACTTTTAACAATAGGAGAGCTAAAAGCTGCTCCAGGTTAGAGAAGTGGCCTAACAAGGAAAGCTAGTACTTTCTGGATCACATTCTTAAAAGTGATCAAATGTGGCTACTTCATTTCACTTGGGAATCAAGATTAGCATTAAAACAATGAAAAATTGTAGCGAAGTGAAGAAGGTTGCGTGAGGTGGTTCGACTGTATCAATAGGTTTCTGTGTTTCCAAGTTCTCTAGGCTTTAAATACTAAAAAGTGCGAGAATTCAGCCAAAGATTGTTGAAAAAGACATGTAATATCTACTTCACTAAATTTTAACTTCTACTTTTGCACCAAAAGTCTTCATATGACTTGAGAAATAACAATACTTCTACCGATAACAAGTAACTACACCAGACAACTACCTACCTTCTTTTATCGCGATCGAAGGCCATAAGGCAACTCTTTTGAGACAGCTGTTTAAGACCGGACAAAATGAGAGTAGTTTTGTTGCCGGGGGCAGCGCAAGCATCCAATATTTTAAGGGGCTGAGATCTGGGTAATTCAAGGACGTCCAGAAGAATTAGGGATGGCACACAGCTTGCCTGAAAAATAACACCGGAGACTTAAGTAAGAAGGAGTTCCCATTACCTTATCCTGGATGACAGCCATGTCAGAGGTGATTACTGGCGATAGGTGCAAATCCGTGCCAGGAGGGATAAGTAGAATAAGGTTCGGAAAGTGATAATCTCTCACAAATTCATGCTTTTTAAGATTCCGCACTAGTTTGATGTATCTGAATGAGGTAGTCAGACAAGAAGCGGGCGCACTTCTTGTAGGAAGTTTTTGCTCGGTCGTAGAAAACCTGACTGTACCTACCATCACCCGAAGAACCCAATGCTTCTATGACCTTATCTATCGATTCGATGGCACGTAAAAACAGAGGAACTCGCAGGATGGAATCTCCCCCTGGTCCCACTAAGTAAGGGTCAATCATAAACAGCAATGGATAACTAACCAGTCTTTGCTCGACTTCTTATTAGTCTACGGAGATTAGAGGCAATCTTACCAGATGGGATGTATTTTCTGAGGATTCTTAAAGCATCGCATCGTCGCCCAAACGACCTACGCGGACAGCAGAGGTCGAATGAGACCACAGTCAAGAGGCACGTAGTGCAGGCTGATAAAGTAGAACAAGCAATGTGCGAGTAGTGACCCTCCAAAACACCCAATTCTGTCAACACATTAACAATGATTGACTGTAAGCCCAAAGATTTAGCCACTAGAGCATAGATAGCCTTATTTTTCTGAAAAGCAGCATTAAAGAGGGTATTTTCAAAGTACTGGTCCATCCTGATTATAAAAGGCACTTTTGAGACTTGTTGTCCTGGAAGAAACAACGCACAAAAGCCGAGCCGCGTCGTGGTAAAGATGGGACGCCCCCACCATGCGTCTAAGCGGAGAGTCCAGGTAGTCTGGCAGAGGGCTACCTCGTGCAGGTACGTTGAACCAATCATCAATTGAATGATTCCGCATCATTTTATTTCTTTAATGAAAACGTGTATCAGATGGTTTTAAGAACCGAAATAGGCAGGAAGCTAATTGCTTCATTTGTAAAGAATGAAGAATTTGCCAGCAATTGTTAAAAACTGACATTCAAATCGATATAGAAAGAATGCTTAATAGCGCAAGTTTTCAGCGGAAAATAAACAATTTTACTGCTGTTGACAAAAAAATCTTTTAAATAACTAAAGTAGATTTACCTTGGCAGCTAACTAGGGCGTAAAACAAGTTCGAGCAACTCAAAATTTACGCCGAGCAAATATGAATTTGCCAAAGCATTTTGTGTGAAGTTTTTACCAAGAGACATAAAAAATGTCTGTCACAATGTCAAGAAAGTGTTGCACAATGGCAACTCATTGATATGCAAAGCCAACTACAAGCTAAGTCCAAAACTTCGTTTTAAGGGCTAGCCTTTTACCAACTCAAGTGTCGCATTGCTAGCAATAAACACATTGACTTGTGTAAAGCAGGCATCTTTCCGATTAAAAGGCCAAATTTTCGCATTAATTTATTTGTTTTAGTATATCACCTAATTTGATGTGCATTGCATGTCACTTGCGCTGGTTAGCGTATTGCCTGCTTTCCGTGTGGTGATTCAGTTTTATTGTCGAGCTATGGTACGTAGTCATTAATTTGAATATCTTTTTATTTTATTTAATTTCATTTGTTGCTGGGAGGAGTTAGTTCCCTTGTTCCATGTTTGCGGTAATTGCACCTATGGGGGTCTGTCAATATTTTGTGGAATTTAGGCTTCCGGTGTGTGTGGACTTTCTCAAGTCATTTCTGAGGTTTCATCTCCTCCTCCACCTGAATTTATCGCCCATCGTGAACGTCTATGGCAAAAGCTGAAGAAGGAGTATAAACAATTTGTTGCCTCACAGCCCCGTTTACCAATCGAAATCACCCTGCGTGACGGATCCACGATACCGGGCAAGGCTTGGGAAACTCGTCCCATTGACATTGCTAGGAACTTGGAGTATGTATTTCCGCTTGGATTTGAGGGCTGTTCTTTCCATCCGAGCTTATTGTCTACTCTCATTTAGTAAGAGCACAGCTGATAAACTCGTCATCTCGAAGGTTAACGGGAAGCTGTGGGATCTTGAACGACCGCTTGAAGGAAACTCAACAATTGAGTTTTTGGACTTTGATGACAAGGATGGTATGTCCATTCACCTGTTTCAGAGTTGATTTTGTACTTTGCTTTTGGAATTGTATGTCGACCTGGTTTACGTTTCACTATGTTCTAGGCCGGACTTTGTTCTAAATGACAGGATAATTCATGTGTATTTACTATTGTGTAGTGTAGTCCTGCATCATTAGGTTCGTTTCCATGTTTTTTTTTGGGATTCGCATACAAATGCCGTTTTCACCCAGACCACTTTGTGGTAGAAGCGGCTGTTAATTTTCAAAAAGAACTACCAGATTGTTGATGGTGTTTTTTGCGACTTCCGGTCTCATGTGTTTCGATGACGCTCCAGGTCAGTACGTGTTCTGGCACTCCTCGGCACACATAATGGGGGAGGCCATGGAGCGCCTTTACGGAGGTCACCTCTGCTACGGTCCACCCATTGAGGAGGGATTCTACTACGACATGTGGATGGAGGGAAGGTGGGTATTTTCTATGTGGTTTTTCAAATTGCAGTTTCATTACCTATCATGCGGTAGAAAAATGCTGAACGTAGATTACTGTCACTCCCATTAAACGATGCGGCACTCCTTAGTACATGTTTCCGTTTTTTTATTTATTAAAACGCACTACTTCATTAGATATTGTCTTAGTCACAAGTTTCTATTCAGTCAGTTGCCTTCAATTGCTGCTGGAAATTTGCTCCATTTTCTGATAAGGAAGGTATTTATTCACTTGAGTTCAATTGGTGTTATGTACCCCTCGCCTAGCCTTCAATCTTTCGTGCGATATTGACACGCCCATTTGATTGGTGTCATTTAGAACTCCTACGCGTTTGGTTAATTGAAATTATCATGTGGTGGAAATCATTGTGCAAATGCGCGATGTTTACTACTGCCAACTCCCAAAGGTTTGTCTCCAACGGCTCGATTGTACCGGATTACGAATTTACTCAAGTTGTCCCACGGCTGTCGTAATTGGAATTTCCCCAAAATCACAGATGCCATTGCTCCCAGGCGCTTGGCGCGGTGGTTAGAGGTGATATTTATACGACCATGGGTTGTTACTAATCCAAGACTATGTTCGAATCCTTAATGCTACTATTGGTGTCAGTTCTCGCACACTTTTTGGAGATCGTTTAATGTGTCTAGGATATTTGTCTACCTTTGACAAGGTTTCTGCCATCACTAGTCTTTGTCAACTGGAACCATGGGTTGGGCTTCTTTTAGTTCTTTAGTAATAAAATAGAGCAAGAAAACCGTCTTGAGGAAGTTTTATAATCTTTTGTCGTACCTCATCCATAAGTCAATTTCGGGTTCATACGACTATACGACAGAATTCCACCTATTGTTGAACAGCTTGACAAATGTGATTTCATCAAAACGAGACGCTTGGCATAAGTTTGCACCAAGTCTGTCAGCTAACCTATAACTCACTAATTGAATGCTTGGCCATGCGACCCCAAGTGGAGCTTTGCGTTACATTCTCCTCTTCTACTTAAGGCAAGTTCATCCTGACGAATATCCGCAGCTCAATAAGCTCTGCAACTCCATCATCAACGAGAAGCAGCCTTTTGAGCGTCTGCTTCTGTCGAAGGCGGATCTGCTCAAGATGTTTGACTACAACGAGTTTAAAGTGCGCCTTCTCAATGAGCGCGTCACAGATCCTAAGACTACCGTCTACAAATGCGGTACACTCATTGATCTCTGTGTGGGTCCGCATGTTCGCCATACCGGTATGTTCTCTTACTTTTCCACCCTCGGAATGCATCGACACCTCATAGGCGTTTGGGTACATGGTCTCGGTCATACAACTTGAGTGTGCTACGCAACAGTGCTTTCTGAAAAGAAAGGTTTTATATGCTCCAAAGTCTTGCTTGAGCAGTTTCAAATGGTTTTTGAGGTGTTCAACCTAACTGCAGAGCGGCAAGACTTGGGTAGACCGTTGGTGGGGTTTCTACGTTGGTATTGGTGCTGCAATGAAGTACTTGAAATAATGCTGCTTTTAAGTAGACGTCTTGAGTCGCCTATATTAACCACAAAGTGTGGTAGTCAGCACTTAAACGGCATCTGTCTTGACAGTTATCCACAGGTGCTGTGCTATTGCGCAATGTCGTTTTTAAGAGGCGAATGGGGTATCATTTGGGATGTTTTTCACAACCTTTTTTTAGACTTGCAATAGGAAATTCGTAAAATCAAAATCTAGCAGGTGATGAATGACACAGCAGTCGAATCACCAGTCATGCAACTTCTCCAGCTGTTTGTTTTCCCTACCTTACGTTAGGTTGCATAAAAGCAATCACCGTTACGAAAAGTAGCTCATCCTACTGGGAAGGTCGCGCTGACGCCGAGTCCCTTCAACGAGTCTATGGTATCTCTTTCCCCTCCCAGCAGGCCATGAAGGACTGGAAACACCTCCAGGTATGCCACTAGTCCGGTTTTTTTGCATTGTTTATAGGCTGTAACGTTGGCGAAGGCTATACGATGGTTTGAAAGGTCCCTTTTTAATTACTTGTAAGAGAGAGTGAATTGCCCCCAGACTGCATGTGTCTCGTATGTGGTGCTGTCTTTGTTTATCATCTCTTTCATCTTTTGCGCCCTGATTTTGTGGTCATGATTGATCGTGGCATGAGCATTGTCAGGTCAGTCACATGGGGACTAAGGCGGTCTTACAGCTGTTATTATCCATCTTGTTTCATCACGTCACTTGAAGAAGTGCGTCTAATACAGCAGATCGTGTTGCCTGTTTCAAGGCGAATTGAGTAAATCTCCTAATCTATGGCAGACATGGGATTTCATTTCTTAATCGACCGTGTAGGAGGAGGCCGCAAGCCGGGACCACCGGAAACTGGGTATCGAGCAGAAGCTGTTCTTTTTCAACGAGCTCTCTCCCGGCAGTTGCTTCTTCCTCCCTGCTGGTGCACATATTTACAATAAATTGGTGGAACTGATGCGGAACGAGTACTGGAAACGCGGCTTCCAGGAAGTCATTACACCCAACATCTACGACTCCAAGCTGTGGGAGATAAGCGGTCATTGGAAGCACTATGCGGTGTGTTGAATATCTCATCTGCCTGAGTGTCTCCCTTTCGCTGTGAATTATCGCCTCCTCACCTTTATATGCAGGATAACATGTTCAAGATAGACATAGAAAAGAAGATATTCGGCCTCAAGCCCATGAATTGTCCCGGTCACTGCCTCATGTTTGCCCACGAATTGCGATCGCATCGCGATCTGCCGCTTCGGATGGCTGATTTCGGCGTGCTTCATCGCAACGAGTTTTCCGGTGCGTTGACTGGACTGACACGAGTCCGTCGATTCCAACAGGATGATGCTCACATCTTTTGTCGTGAGGATCAGGTGCGTCTAAAGTACTTCCGGATGATCGTCCAATTTTGGTACACATAGTACTCCCTCTTGCCTGCTCTAATTTCCGAAAATTTGACGTTTGATGAGAACACGTGAAAAGCAGGGTCATTTTTCGAAAAGTTCACTTAGCCTATCACCTTTTCCATCTCTTAGATTGAAACTGAAATTAAAAATGCAATCGAATTTGTGCAACATACCTACGGTGTTTTCGGTTTTTCCTTTGAATTCTTCCTCTCTACGCGCCCTGAGGACTTCATGGGAGCTGTGGAATTGTGGGATCGTGCGGAAAAGGTTAGCCCAGACGATCATTTCCCTTAAATACCACTTTTACTCTTCTTCCTCTCCCTTTCTCACGCCCCTAGCAACTGGAGAGCAGTTTGAACACCAGCGGTGTAAAGTGGACTCTCAACGAGGGTGACGGTGCCTTTTACGGCCCTAAGATTGATATCGTTCTCTTCGATGCCCTTCGAAGGCGTCACCAATGCGGGACCATCCAGTTGGACTTCCAATTGCCCGAACGCTTTGATCTCACCTATCAGACGTAGGCGCACTTGTCTTGCTTTTCCCTTTCACCTTGAATTCGCTTCCTCCAACCTAAATGTGTGCTTTCTACCTTTTAGGGGCGACGCGCCTTCAGTTGATGGCGAATGTTCAACTATTCTCAAGCGCCCGGTTATCATTCATCGTGCTATCCTCGGCTCTGTTGAACGTTTCATGGCCATTCTCACGGAGAATTTTGCCGGTGCGTTAATAAAATCCTCCCTCATGCGTGTAATTTTAAAATCCAACTGTCTGGCATTCTTTACTGGAAGGATGTCTACTCCCTCCTAGGCAAGTGGCCATTCTGGCTAAATCCGCGTCAAGTGTTGGTGGTTCCAGTGGTCTCCGCGCTGGACGAGTACGGTCATAAGGTGCGCAATCAACTTCACGAGGCGGGCTTCATGGCGAATATTGACACAGATCCTGGTCGAACGCTGAACAAGAAAGTTCGCAATGGCCAACTGGCCCAGTACAACTTCATCCTCGGTGTGTGGTAGTCGTCAACTTTGTGTAGTAATTTTATGCAACCGCCAGTTTTGGTGTCGTAATCCGCTTACTCATGGTAAACAACTCTGCCGGTTTGGTGTGTCATAACAAACAATTTTAATTGACAGCTTTAAAATCTGCCTTGCTTTGATGTTCCACTTATCTTTGCATTGTTTTCGCTCTGTTTTAGTGGTGGGCGAGAAGGAGCTGAACAACGGAACGGTGAATGTAAGATCACGTGAGAACAAGGTCTTGGGTGAGCACACAGTTGAGCATCTGATTGAACGCTTCAAGGAGTTCTGTGCCACCAAGACAGTCTCGGCGGAAACGGAATTATAAGCCCGGTGTTGCCCTTTTTGGCACCTCACAATGCGCGTTCTTGTGTGCTCCTGCTTCCCTTGCTTTAGTCCTGTGTGCTGTTTTCCTCGTTGACCTTCGTGGCCCCTTTTGCTTACCGTCGTTGTGGTGTGAGGTCGAAAAGGCGGTTGGTTCATTAAAAGTCTGAAGGGATTTTTTTTATTTTGAAATCTTGGTGATCACTCTTGTGGGTACTTCAAAGCTGTAGCACTTGAATTACTCGTAAAGGCGTTTCAGCACCTACCTGCATGAAGGCAGAGCTCATTACAACTTCTGGAGACTGAACTGCGGGCGAGTATGGCAATCTGCGGGTCGCACGAGGTCTTTAAGTTTGCAAAAAGGGTAGTTTTGCAGTTTCCCCGCAAACTTGATCGTCAAGGTGGTGGTGGATTCAGTTCCGATTGTGACCCACCACGCACGCACAGCAAGCGGACCTCGTGGGTCGTCGGAGCGATGGCCAATGGCATGCCGGCGGGTAAATCCCGCTTTGCATCGCAAGTCAACTAGGAAATGAACTGGAAGTGAGGCGCAACAAATTCAGCCTTGGGAGGTTGTTATGTGCCACCCTTCCACAACGACCCACCTGTTGGAGATGGGGGGGGAAGGGCGGTTCTATCACTTACCTCCGTCTTCAACTCTTTCGTCCGGTTTGTTAGTTGAACAGGCTTGAATCATGTCCTTGAGGTTCAACCGACATGTTATAGTGTGGGTTGAAGATAAGGGGAATTTGGACTGACGAACACCTCCTCTTTATGCGTGTTCTGCGAAGTTGTCGGAGGGCACTGCAATGCTACCTTCAAGGACCAACATTGGTGACATCTCGCTCTGGCTTACCGTGGTGTGGAGTACATCCACTTGGTTTTTGCGTCGAGCTTGTAAATCGTTGCCATCGCCGAACTGCGGGGTCACACGACCCTTTGGCTGCATGCCAACCTTGCGGGTGAGTCAGTCGACCGCGTTCAGCCAGCTGCCGTGGTGTCACGTGATTGGATGGGGGATGATGAAACTGTTGCACCAGTCCCACGATCTGGCCCCACAAAGCGGTGATGGGTCGCTGGTCTAGTCTCCTGTCAGTCGATTGATGCGTCAAGGGACAGAGGAGGGAGGGTGTCACACAGCCGAGCAGTTTTGCTGAAACCTACTTTTGAGAAACGATCGGGATAACCTTGAAGTGGGATCAAATGTCCATTTCTCATTGAGAAGGTTTAAAAATAAATGGTGACAATAAAAGATTTGGCTATCAAATTGAGGCATAAAACAAGTAAGTAAAGTACTTGAGCTCTTTATTTTGATAAAAGTGAAAGTTTTTAGCCTTTTTGTACTATTTGAACACACAAGGACGTCGCGGGTGCCAGTTGTACAGGGCTGTTGAATGCTTTCAGAGAGCAGAGCCCGGGTTACCTAACCAACATTACCACCTGGTCAAACTTAGTTGTCCAATCGGAGCTAAGCGCGTGTGATTAAATGGGTCCAGTGTCGTGGTAGCGATGGTGGTGACCTCAAAATCCCGCCTTCTCCCCCCTTCCTCTCCCCGCACGACCTCGCGAACCCAGGTAGTCCGGTCCCTGTCACGCCTGGAGGTTTTACAGGACATAATTTTGCAGGAACTTTTTGTTGCACGTCCATGGAGGGACTGAAAGACCAGTGTAAAGTTGAACTTGAAAGGAGTGCGCTATTTGGGGTCTGTTTAAAACAATCGCCGATTTCCGAATTCGTAGTGAGGTGCTATTAACAGCAAGACAGCGCAGCTTTCCTCAGTTCATCTGTCTTGGCCTTTGTCGACAGGCGGGCGCAAGGGAAGTAGAAGCATTTTTTATGTCAATTCCTTTTTTTTATGTAAATTTTGTCTCCGGGTGTGCTCCCTCCTTCTCCATAGTTGCCCATTTGCCACTCTCAGCTGGATGGTTGGTCCATTTTTGGAACGGTACTATAAGACGGAGGTGGAGGAGGCTTTGCTGTCAGCTTTCTATTCTTGTTTGATGCTTCTGGGAAAGCGATTAGCAATCGCAGCAAGTTTCAATGCAGTACTCCCTGAATAAATCATTCAACTGACAAGAGAAATCCTGGCAGCGCTAAAGGTTTCTCCCACATTGTGCAAGCCCTTCCCAATTCCTCCCATTATGGTTGCTCCTTCCGTAGTATTCAACTTGTTGCTATCTTCTGAGGAACTGCCAGTGCCACAGCACATTTCCGCCAACCTACTTACAATCACCACAACGCCACTATGTTCAATGAACTTCGGGAATCGTAATGTTACTGACTACGAATTCAGTAGAGCGTATGCTACCCACTGCCGATTGTGTTTTGCGGCTTGTTACGTGGGGCTGGGTGAATGGAATTTTGCTTCCGCATAACGTAGTAGAATGATTACCAGATGGAGCCTCTAATTAACTAAAAAGAGCAAAAATTAAATGACTTCTGATGATGCTATCTTCTGATTAAATGCCAGTACCACAGCACACTAACGTCACGTACTGCTAATGCCCATAACGCCACTAAGCAAAGTAAATTTCGAGTTTAAGGCGGTGGTAGTGCTACTGACAACGAATTCAGTAGAACATGCTACCCACGGCTTGTCAAGTGCGATTGGGTGAATTGAATCGGCTCCCGCACCACGTACTAGAACAAATGCTAGATAGAACTTCCAATTACTTTGATAGGTAAAAAAGAAGTGACTTTTGATGCGATTATTCTTTATCTTTTGCCAGCGAGGGGAATGATTCATTCCTCTCTAAAGAATCCACTTCAATTCAAGTTGTTACCGTGCACATCCACCCAATGCAAACTGTGATGGTGCAACAGGTTGTTTGTGGCGGCTAGACAACCAAATCACCAATTAAACATAATGATAGCTCACCAGGCTAGGGGATATTTAGCAATAATTTTGGGAAAAGACGAAAGCAAAACCAGCTTTCAACTTAATTTTTCCTATTGCCAGTGATCAACGACAGAAAAGCCAGTTTGATGGCTGTCAGAATTTTACAATGCGTTTGTGAGAACTCTACTTTAGTGGACACGGAGTTGCCTGATTTTGTTTTCTTCAGACGATTTGCTGACTTCCACCAATCCCTTTTTTTGAATGGGCACACCAAGCATTCACTCGACGCAGTAGATTGACAGCGTCAGGTTTGATCTTTCTAAGAAGGCAAAAAAAGCATGCGAACTACTTCCACGTTATAATCTCATCCAATCTTATGCAGTACCTCCTGAGTAAACCATTCAAGTGATACCTGAAATTCGGGGAGCGCTAAGGGTTGGTGCCACGTTGTACGAGCCTTTTCCAATTCCTCTCGCTCTGGTTGCTCCTTCCGTAGTTTTCACTTTAATGCGACCTTCTAAGGAACTCCCAGTGCCACAACACATTTTACCACCAACTTCTAATCACCACAACACCACTATGCTCAGAGAATTTCAAGAATCGTAATACTACTGACTACGATTTTAGTAGAACACATGCTATCCACTCACGATTATGCTTTGCGGCTTGTTACGTGGGTCTGGGCGAATAGGATATGCCCCGCACAACGTAGTAGAACGATTACCAGACAGAGCCTCTAATTAGCTAAAAGGAGTAAAAAATAAATGACTTCTGATGTGATTGTACTTAAGCTTTTGCCAGAGGGAGGAATGGTCCACTCGCCTTAGGAGAATCTACCTTAACTAAAGCTCCCACACCGCCAAATAAAGTGGATGATTTATCATCGAGTTTGAGGGTTTTCAGCGATGACTTTTTGGAAAACCGAAACCAACACCATCTGTCGACTTGATTTCATTTTGTTACCAGTGATTAAAGACGAAAAAGGTCAGTTTAATGACTGATGGGATTTCGAAGCGCACTATTTGTGGGAGCTCTACTTTAATAAGCAAGGAGTGACCTGATTTTGTTTTCTTTAGAAGAATTGCCTACTGCTGCCATTGCCTTTGTTTAAATTGGCACATCAAGCATCCGCCTGGGCGCAATCGATTGACCAGGTCAGGTCACGGCACCGTGATGGATGCTACCGGCACAGTAGCTAGCCAACGCAGTATTTGTGTAGTCCGTATAAATTAGTGCGCAAAAGGAAAATGTACCCTGTTTCAATTTCCTGAAATCCCCTTCTTGCCTCTAATTTCAGAACGCTCTAAAATGACCCGAAATTCTCCCTCTCCTTCAGTTCCCTTGAACGGCCATTGTTACTTTCTAGGGGGCAATAAAATTCAAATCCCCATTTTCCCACAGAAGTTCCCTTGTAATAAACAAATGAAAATGCAAAAAAAAGACCAACTCCACAGCCTAAATTCACATCTACATTTAGGAAAATAAGGACACGAAAAGACACAAAGAAAGAAAGCATGAAAAGCAGAAAAAAATGAATGAAGGATGGACTCAACAGAGAAATAAGGGAAAAAAGGGAAAAAAAAAGCATGAATGGAATGAAATATCATTAAGAAGCCGAGGCGACTTAACAGAGTTGTGAAGCAGGATGACCTGCAGAGAAGGGTCGGCGTCCAACAGCACTGGAAGCTCTGCCTCCGCGCATAGAGACTGCTGCCGCGTTTCGCTGTTCCTCAACAGCCTGCACGAAAGTTTTACCATTGGACAGGACAAAGGGTTGACCCTTCTCCGCCTCATATTCACCAATCGCAGCTAGAGTCTCCTTCTCCGATTTCTCCACCTCCTTCAACAATTTCTTCTTCTCCTTCTCCGTCTTCAACAAAATTCCACCTCGGTTACTCAAGATTGATGGGTCTTTAAGCCTTTGCTCTACCTGTTGGAGAGCGTTGAAAGAGGTTTGAAATGCCGCTATGGCCTCGTAGACTCGCCGATGCTGTTGATAAACAACCTTCAATTCCTCAATTCGATGCTCTAAGTAGTCCAGTAATTCAACACCACCGTCTTGACGTTCTTTTGCCTCAATTTTGGCCAAATTGGAGGATTCCTGATTTTCAAGACAACAGGTCCTTGCAAGGTCAAGCAATTCAGCCTTCACACTTGGCAAGTACGTCGCTATAGTTTGAAGACGTTCTTTTCGACAGGCATCAGCTTCCGTCTATAGAAAAATATTGATTATGAAATCTAAGTACCAACTTATCCATACATGTGCATCCACTGATTTCGAGCTATTTCAATAAATTTGCCCTTTAGCATAATCTACGACGCTCTATGAGTTTGGGAAATTAAAAGCTCACACAATCTCTAAAGTTAACTTTTGCGCCATCCAAACATCTGAAAAGCGAATAAACTTAACCGTTTGCCATGTTTTTAGTCAATTTTCTCAATGTAACCAAACTTTATAACAAAAAAAAACACTCATTTAGCCAATCATAAGCCAAATATTTTGGAAGAATTTCATTGGCTACTTTATAGATTAGTAAAAAAATGACCTTACTTGAAGTAACTGGAGGGAATGGGGCGTGAAAGCCTCGCAGTTTTTGAGGAAGACCTCACATTCTTCCGCCGGTTTCTGAAGGCGTTTCCACATGCTCTCTAGGTAGGCCTTCAACTCCTCACACGTTCCCACCAATCGGGCCTTCTCCTTCACTAGACTCAATCGCATCGTTTTCAACTCCTTAAATTAAACAAAACTTATGTGAACTGATAATATTTTAGTCACTGCTACACTATGTCATAGCAATTACACCTATTTTATCTGACACTAATCATACCCGTAATACATCCAGCCCCCACAGTTTATTACATCCATGACAGAGTAACTTTAGCATCACTTGAAATGGGGATTTTTTGCGAAAAAAAGTGGGAATTGACTGATAATTTAACCTTTTAAATCAGCTACTAGCATGACTTGTCCTTTGATGTCAAATGGTTAAATTTAGCCAGGAAGTAATGTTACCACTCGAGAAGGTAAACTAGGACATTAAGTAAATGCTTTTGAGTACGGTGAAATACAGTTAATTTCCAACATGCACCCAAAATAACGAAGTTCTCTTTACATGTTCGTTGCACTTAGCGTGAATTTATTCGCTTAATGAAATTGAGAGAAAGCATTTGTTGCCGTAGCAATACATCCTTTGGTTGCAAGGTTGCAATCACCCAATCATCTGAACCGGAACAAGGGTTGCCATTTAAAAGTGGACATCTAGTGAAACTTAGTTTATTGACAAATGAAGGGAGAATTATACATACCATTATAACCAAGGTAGGTAAAGACACTTGGCATTTGTGCGTGGAATGTACTAATTTCCTAGAATCTTGGTCCGACTGACTGCCGCTGATAGTTGAACACTAGTGGTGCATGCAGACATACGTTTAGCTTCACATGCATTGAGCAAGCAAGCCAAATAGACAAATACCGCTTACTACTGCGACGAGAAATTAAGATTTGTTCTTTATTCCTGCCTTCAATAAATCATTGTAAACCTATTTTATGGCGCGAAGCATTTTTAAGGGCAGGTATAATTTCAAAACGGCAAATTCTTAAATGTATTTGGGCTTAAAATGTAAAACAATTAATCAGATTGTAGTCGCTAAGTAACTAAGATTTTACGTTTTAGTGTTTTAACGCACCAGCTGTTTACACAAAAACAACCGCCGTTTTGAAGGGATGCAGTAGCCGTGTCTTCAAGTTCAAAAAAAGATCTGCTGTAGCGAAAGCCGATATTTGTTTTTGTTGTTCATTCGTGGAATGTGTATCTATCCGAGGCGTAGCAGAAGGCATTACTCATTATAAATCTATAGACCCCGGAGCCACAAAAATTGTATCTAACTGAAAACTAATTAAAGTTTGGCTTCTACCACTTTGTATAACATGCCTGCGATCACCAAATTTGCAAGGAAATTTAACGGGTCAGGGGGTCGTTTGTTAACAGGGTATAACGCAAAATAGTCCATCAATCATAAGCAATGATTTTCATGATCATCGTAGAAAAAAGTAGCATTTGCTTACCTCGAGATCAGTCTCATTAGGGAGGGCTCCTTTTAACCTTTCGGCCGTTCTTCTGATTTCCTCATCTACATTGAAAACCTCTTCCTGACCATTGAGCATTTTATCCGGAGTAGCCTCTCTTCCATTCGATTCCAAATGCAATAAGGATTTCTCTCGTTCGGTCTTTGGTACATAGGCAATTTCCGCCGCTATGCGTTGGATATCTGCTTGAAGGGCATTCAATTGGGCGACAAGTGGTCCCAGCGTTGCGTTATTTTCATCCAAAACCAACTTCAGACCTGCGATATCCTCATTTGAAGGCACATCAACAGCTAAGGAAAAACCAAAAATCCAACCCAAAGTTTCATTAATGCAAGTACAAAAGGAATTTATTCTGACCAACTTAAATACTCTTCAATTTTGCAGCCAATCAGAATTGAGGTCTATTTTAATTGGCTCCTCGCACGCTCTCAATGGGCGAGGGGAGGAGGGGCAATAAACCAACCTTTTGTCAATTTTCTTTTAATAACATCAGATGAGTGGCCTAGTTGGAGACTGGATGTGATAATTTCACGGCACAGTCGTTGAAATTCCTCCTTTCGATGAAGTTTTTCTTGTTCCATTTCTGACACTTTATCAGTGAGGTCCTGTAGTTTCAAACATACTTAAATCATCTTTAAAGTGTAAGAAATACACTAACATTATTGTAAATAAATGACTGTGCAGCTTTGTAATTTTTTAAGGCACTACTGATTTGTGGTAAATAATTAATGCGTACTTGGAGGAGTTGACAAGTGGTTAAACCGTGGGGCGGAAAGTAAGGAGGAAGACAAAGAAGACTGCAGAACTCGGCAACAATTTGGCGCTGAGACTCAATCTTTGAGTTCAGCTCCTTCAATAGCTCATTCTCTGACTTTATAAACGCATAAAAGCTTGCTTTTAGAGACTTCAGTAGTATGCCAATTTTCTGGTCCGCCTCTGTCTTGCTGTAACCTATAATGCATAGCGAATGAAATTGACATTTACGCTAATTACGCAGGGTAAGGTCGTAATTTGTAACTTTGCTTATTTATAATAAAGGTGCTTTCAGAGAGGTAGGAAATATGACGCCTTCAAGGATACGTTATTCATTGTAGCACCTCTAGAATGTGTGTAATGGATAAACTCATCACTCCTGACATGATTTACACAACCTCAATGTAAACAAAAGCTATTACAGTTTTTCGGCAATCAAACACGGTAAAATAAACAGTCAAATGCAAACTTTTGGAATAAGAAAATTCTGCGCATTTCCGCCTCAATCCAGCGATGGTGACATGTGCGCATACTGTGTAGCTATGGCTACCGCAAAACTTTGCTGTCACAAATTGGACTGGGGTAAATAACAAAAGGAGAGAGTAGATCCAAATTCGGGTTGGTACTGAACTATAAACATGGCAAAATATTTGGTTCACAGCCATGATTTTCCTCGGGGACAATAGCGATTTACTGAATTTAAAGTGGGTTCGCCACTGATGGTCTGCTCTCAGACAAAGTCGTCAAAGCACTCCTTTGGTACGATTATAGCTGAGCGACCGAGGGGCTGTGAAAACATGAAATTGGGGGATAAGTTCATCTTCCTACTGACGGAGGTGAAATCGCTCCCCTGATACACCATCCCGTAACCCATTTTCCTTCATCGTAACTGTACACAAGTTTTTTGGCCGCAGATACCTCAAGGTGACAGATTTTGTGATAAACAATCTAACTAGCAGGCAGCTGTGGTTTTTGAAAAATACACTCAGGCAATGTTTAAAGTGCTTAAGCTACTATTTACAGGAAAGATGTTGCAGAGCAGGAACGTTCACGTTAATTATAGCCAAGATCAGGTTCAAATCAGATAGATTTGGGTTTTGATCTAGTTTAAGCAAGTCTAAGGGGGCCTTATAAACTGGGACATTCTAAACATGATTTAGTTGCACCAGCATCTCTCACATCCGAGATTACCAAAAGGCACATACAAGCAAAACCAAAATAACCTATAAAATAAATGACAATGGTTAACAAAAGTGCACAGAGAACTGGTTAGCTTGCTAGATCAAGGAGTGCCTTAACATCAAGCGACCGGTAATTTGGGGTCCTATGTAAAACTAACCGGCATAAATCCAAATTTTCATTAAATCATCCACTTGTTGGGCAAGGCCATTTGATATCTGCAAACAAATTGAATCGGTGTCCATCACCGAGCACAAATTCCTATCGTTGGCTATTGCGCAGGCGGTGGGGAGAAAAAGAACGAGCGCAGCCGAGACTGGTGTTGGCAACGCCTGGCCACCAGCCTCTCTGAAATTTGATTGGTACATATGTGGACCAATAGATGAATTGATAATGATTTCGAGGTCACCGTGTGCTGATTGGTTGTCCACAAAATGGATGCAATCGTCTTCTGAGAAATTGTTGCGATTACGTAAGGCCAGATCGTCCGCCAAATATTTGCCCTCATGTTCACCAAAACATTCCTTTCAAAAATAGAGATTCAAAAGTGGCGGCATAAAAGAAGAGTTTTACATAACCCTTTCGGGAGTTGATGGCATTCTCAGTAGTTCATATTCTCCATTTTTCTGCCCTGCTTAGAATCTTAATTAAAAATTTACGAAATCTGGAGCGCCGATAAAAATTCTTTTAATATTAGGAAGATATCATTTTTGCTCTTCTTTCAAAACGGTCTATCTAATATGTATGAGTAAAACATTTTTGGTTGAAAAGGGATCGCCACTACCTATGCCATTCAACATGACTAACAAAAATTTGAGATAAAGCCAACTTAAAAATCAAGTACTGCTGCTGTTGATCGTTGTCAAAATTTGTTGGATACATTTTTACACCTTGGTATAACCTTCGAATATGGGTAAAGTCAGTGGAAAGGGAAGACACACTATTTTGACAAATTGAGGTAGGAATACCACCTAGACCTTCAGGCTTTGTACAAATCTGTTGATCCACATACCCGTGATATTATTAGAAGACGAAGGTCTTTCTTATCCTTTAGAGCTGTTTAGTTCAAATTAGAGGGCGTGTAATTTAACCCACTATTTTAATTTGCTCAGAATTTTTGAAAGACGGAAATATTTGATGCCTTTGAGCCCAGGGCGAGGGAAAGAAAGTGGCTTTATCCCCAACAACTAATCAGAATGCAAAAACAAACAATTAAGTGTTTGCAATTACTAACCTACTTATAGTTTAGACATCTATGTAGCCATTGCTGTGTACATGGATACGCTGAGATTCTGTCCTGTTCCCCAACTAGACTAATCAGGGCGCGTGACTTCAGGAGAACCGGGTCTTTAATACCGCCAGTCTGCGGTATCTGCGGTATCGTATTTTAAACTACGTCTAGTTATCTGTCACCTTATTACAGATACCGGCACATCTTATTAGAGGGGACTCAACGAGAGCGTTGACAATAACATTCCAGAGAGTTCCAGGTGAGGAATTTGCGGAAAATCCTGGCAGTACTGCTGGAGTTGCAGGCGCTTCCAGTACGGTGTTCTTGGATGGTGCCTTTAAAAGCTCTCAAATTGCTCCCAAGCCAAAAGAAGTGTATTTCGGGTGCTCTAGCGAGTGTTTTCACAACGAAAAATCTCGTGCAAGTGAGATTTAATCGGTTGTACGTCTTTCTGCCTTCATTGCGTGCTCTCAGAAGACATGCTTCCGAGCTCAGCCCAGCTTAGTTTTTGTACATTAACCAACCGGCAAGTCATATGCCTAACCACCTATGCAACATGAGGTGTTGTACAGGCCAAGTTGGTAGCACGTGGTCTAACCTTGCATTAACATGTCTCCAATGTGATCAGCAAAGTTACTGCAGTCTTCAACTTGTTGGAACTGGTAGGAGCTGGAACAGTCGTAAGTAGAAGCCGCTCAACAGCAGATGAGAGAAAGAGAGCTTTAAAAAGTGGCCAATTTGTTGTATCTTCCTCTGTGATTCGTCTGTTAACTGACCGACTTGCGATGAAAATAGGCGTCCAGTTTCTGAGGTCAGTCTACCACCATCTCATTGATCACATTCCAGAGGACTCACTACCCATTTCACTTCCTCAAGACTGCAGTGATGGCTGCAGTTAGCAATCCATTGAAATAAAATCCCCAATTTGTCTCCATGCCATCGCGCTATAAAAATGTGGCGATTGGAAGGACCTGATGTGGACGACTGCAGCCACAGATGCCTAAAATCTCATGTTCTGAACCGTAAACGATGATGGCTGAAGCGAAGCATATTAAAGCATTTAAAAAATACCAGTCATGGAAAACGTGCCTTCAATGACTTTGCTTTAGGACACGCGACTGGGATCGACCAGCTCTGGGCAGAGCTGAGCCAGTCATCCTCCGTTCCTACTCATGGGAGACCGACGCATGGCCTTCACTCCCTTTCCTCGGTCACACCGTGCTGATTGGAGCTAAAGAATGGCCACAGAAGGCTTCAAGGAAGAAATTAAGAGTAGGAAAGGGCTACACGGAGTTTGAGGTGTTAAAGGCGTACACTTGACTGCGCGGATTCTTTATTCTCTACAGTTTTTATCACGGCCTTCCTGCCATTCCAATCAGCAATCTTTTGTCCGTACCCACATGCCCAACGTCTTTGATGGGTGACTTTGCTAACATTTACCCTGTGTTTTGCTAGAGCAAAGCACCATGTTGAAGAGTAGCTGACAAAAGGCAACGGGCAGTCAGGTGAGGCGAAGTGTGTCTGGTCGTTCCCCACGTGAGCCCCTCACACGCGCTCAATCAACCACCGGTGTTGGTGGTTAAATGAGTGGCTATAAAAATACTCGAGTGTTACACTACGTGAGTGTTGTGTATATTCCACTTGGATGGCGGTCAACACCGAGTTGAACGAGGAATCGCTTTTTGCGCATAACTAGTAAGTTTCCGCCAATTCTTTATGTCGGTTCCTTTCAACTTCATTCATCTTGACACTTATTTGCTTTTTAATGAGCCAGTACTCCCTTTTTAATACCTTAAAATAGCCTGTAAGGTAGACAGTTTCCAAGTAAAGTACCACAGAGACAAAATATCGGGGAGACGAATTCTCTCCCTCCTACCGATGGCATTGAATAGTGAGCCAGTCGTCCATACTTGAAGGATGTCCAAGTTAATTTTTGTTTTTGGTCACCTCTCAGTTTACGCAAGCGTCACGGTTGTCCACCCCTCGAATATGACGAGGAATTGGCCAAATCCTCGCAAGTCTTCGCAGATAAGTTGGCACACTCACCGAGGTTTAGGTACTACTACCCCACTGACTACGGAGAAAACGTCGCCTATCGAGTCAGCGCTCGATGTGCCAAATTATCCGGTGGGTTACCATCATTATACAGCCTGCTAAGAGAAGACAATTTTGAGACTATATTTCTCTTTTTACCAATGATTATTCCTTTTGTTAATCAGATAAAAGTTGCGCCTTTAGAATTTAGGTTTGTGGGACTTTACAAAACAACGAAAACCTTTTGACAGCTTGAATTTGCAATGCCCTGGGACTTCATTGAAGACGAAAGAAGACACGATACTTGAGCAGAGTATGTAATGTTAACGTAGGAAGGAGGGGGGTTGGGGGCTACTTCCATGACCTGGAGGTCAGGCCGCCCAGCGGAGGTACAATGGCGGACACACAAAGTGGCGCGCTACCGAAACTGAGTGTTAAACAAACAAATAACGCATTTCAAATCACAAAGCAAACATGTGAATGATAGCTAATGCAATATGGAGATAGAGTTGCTATTTAATTGCTTCTAGGTGACAAAAATTGCCTTTTTTCCGTTCATTTAAGGTATTGATGCAACTCTGCGATGGTACAGGGAGATCCTCACTTACACGTCTGGTGAAGAAAGCCAAAGAAAGTATGGTAAGATTTTTTATTTGTTTGTATTTCGGTGTGAACTACGGTTGTAAATGCCACCATCGTCATCAGTGTCCGAAGACCTTCCATCCTAAGTTCGCGTTGCTACTTATTAGTCCATAAGTCGACATAGCACCGCTTCCAGCTAACTGGACGATGCTGATGCGTTTGTAAAGCAGTACGTGTCGATGGTTTCACTTGAAGCATCAGGATGCTACATCAGACTTTATGGCTAGAAAATTCTACCGTCTAATTTAGGAAAGTTGTCACTAAATGCAGTCTGCATTTCGCATTGATTCTCTCCCATCACATCTTCTGGGTCGTGAGGATTCCTTTGGCTGTGCTGCAGAATGACTAGATGTAGTGTCCCTATCCTCCGTCCATTTCGGCTGAAGGTGCCTTTTCAGATGCTTCAATCCTGAACATTCCAAAACACCAATCCCCCTCCCCTCTCTCCCCTCTGATTGGTCGACAGTAGGCAGAGATATATCGCAACTGCTCCAACCCTCACCATAAAGCCAACGTCAGTCAAATACTATGACTACACGGGACTGAAACCGCTCCATGTCTGTGGCATTCTACGCTGGCCGGATGGTCACTGCTCGCACACTCGCCATCTGCTTCGACATCTCGCCTGTTGGTTGCATCCGTTGAGAGCTCGACATGGTCAAAAGTCACGGGCACAAACCCCAAATTATGTCTATTTTTGATGGCTTTTAGATCTAAACGAAGTTACAAATCTCGGGGTAGGGGGTGCAAAATAAAAGAAAAGCATCAAGGGGCACGACCACTTTGTTATGGGCGTAAATTTAGATCGTGTCGACTCCCTCGTGGGAGTAACCAATGGGCAACGGCTTCAAGACACACCTTTATCTGTCGACATGCATAAGCAAGCAAGTTGAGGAGCACGACGTGCGTACACGCAACAGGTGACGCCCAGCGGAGACTGTCAGAGTGCTGGGTGGTTTTCAGCCTCGCAAATTCATCATATTTGGTTGGCCTTGGCCTTACAGTGATTGCCTAGCCAATCAGGAGAGAGTTAGCAGGGAGCTCAAAGCCCTAACGGAAATACTCATTTCTTGTGCAACTTTAATATGAGCTGTGGGTCGGTTAGGTGTCTAGGACCATGGAGGTGATGGATGTTGTTGGGAAATACCGCTGCAGTGGTTAAATAGACACCACCATGACCGAGTGCGTCAATGACGTGAGGACACATAGCCGTCGTTGATGTCACTGCACCTTTCACGTGTCCTCTAGCAGCTGCGGTTTTGACGTCTTGTGCCACGAAGGTGGGGAATAGTGGAGGTCGAGTTGACCAGCTACTTGTGATTGGCTTAGATAATCAGGCATATTTTGGCCGTGTGGACAAGGAAAATTTTCGCAGCCCTGGCCCCGTCTATAGCCAACTTGAATCACGACCTGAATGTGAATTTCAGGACACTTCGCACAAGTCATTTGGAAGAAGACGAAACAAGCGGGCTTCGGAATGGCCAAATCGGTGGACGGTAAAAGAGTCTTCGTGGTGGGGCGTTACAAACCCCGAGGCAATAGGCGAGCGTATTGGGATGAACAAGTGCCACCACCCACCGACAACACCGTCTACGTTCCCACCTCGGAGGAAATGGGCAAGTTGTTTATATTTTGCTTTAACTAATAGAAGTCTGCAGCACTATTGCTTCGGTTGAATGGGAGGGGGGGTGATTAATTTGACGCCCGAAGTTCAGAAAGTTGTCATTTGAATGCAGCACAAGGAGGCCAGGAATTTAATGAATTCATTCCACAGATAGTAGTTTATTCAAGTCCTTAAGAAAAGGATTTTATGCGTTGAATTCTCTGCCTCCCATCTGTCTTTGTTTTGATTCTACAGTTGAACTTTACAAAAAGGCGATGGATGAAAAAGCCGAAAACCAGGAGGTAAGGCGTCAAATACCTCCATGTTAGTTAGAGAACTTTCTTTACCCACAGAGGATTTTGGGAAAATGGCTAATTTTGCATCCACAAAATATGAAACAAAAGCAGTGGATTTGGTGACTGAGTTATTTTTTCTTCCAGAGCTATGAGGCCTACGTGAAGAGCATCTTAGATGCACTGAATTCCATCAGACGGGAGAACCAGTTGCCACCTCTTCGATTAAACTCTGTAAGTTCACTCATTCTTAAAAAAAAAGTCTTTAAAGGCACGACGGTGTCAAAGGTGAAATGTCGCGTAAGTGGTGGAACTACTTCGAGGTTCGATGACATAAGGATTTGCGAATAAATTTCTCCCCCGTAGAGTGGCTTATCCAGTTTAATAAATGCCGAATACTCCAGACACCTAGCCAAATTTTCATTGTCTTCAAAAACTCTGCGGCGCCAGAAGTGCACTCAAAGATTTAGGAGGATCCTGCCTTTTCTTTTCAAGGAGCTAATTAAGAAAAGACGGGTAGATCTCTCCGGACAACCCGGGGAGAATGAGGACGATTCCAATTCGGAGGACGATGACAAACAAATGAAAATTCCACGCACCAAGTTGATCGACCGTAAGTTCCCCCCACTTCATCACCTTTAAATGAACCGCTTTTCGCCTTCACCAAACAATACTACTCTTTTCATTTCAGCGACGAGGATAGCTAAATTAATGTTAAAAAATGGACAAGGTAGGCATACCACAATCCCCCCTTCTTTACTTCTACATCCAAAAGAGCCATTGTAAAGTGTCATTTGGAATCTTTTAGTCATTCGTAAGGATATCACGATGGTTGGAATCGTCACCGTCCTAATGCCCCAATCCTCGACTGTTGCTATTGCTTTCAAATAAACAGGAGGTGGTTCACTCCTTCCCAGAGATCATTTACTCCACAAAAAATATTGAAATGTAATTTGCTGGTCTACCTCCGGTTTTTAGAGGTACATTCCTTCACACATTTTTGTTTTACTTTTGCGCTAGCCCATGGACTGACCGTTGGGGGAGCGTGTGAACAAAATTTGCAAAATCAGTTAGTTTTAATCCAAATATGTAAAATAATGGTTTTATATTTAAAAAATGGGAGGTGAGACTGTTATTATTCCTGGAATTCCCCCCATTCCAAATGGTGATGAGAGGAGCTTTCAGTCGGAGGTATTAAGCAAATAAAATGACAATTGAAGACCGCTTGAAGGGTGGATTAAGTTCGCATCCGATTGTCACGTACTTGCAATTCGGATCAGCAACTATCAAGTCGAAAATGATGTAAGTAGAAGAAGGAGCGTTAAAATTGTTACCTGACATGCGCAGTTTTGTGAGATAACATCGTTGAACAAACTTTGTTGCTGAAATTAAGCTTAAAAATTAGTTGATGAGTAAGTTGAACGCACCAAAATTGGGAATGCCACCTCTAACTCACCATTTCTGTGCAATAAACACGAGCATTCAGAGTAGTGTCGAGTCCTTCTACCTTGCCATGTGCCTTCTGGAATGTCACGGGAATCACCGCTTTTTAATCCTTTTGCTAATTCTTGAGCCAGGTGGTCAAAATCCTGCACTTTCAAGGGAGTGTGAAAAAAACAACAGTCGGTACTCACTTCGTTTAGTAGAAATGGCGGTAAGCCAAGGGCGACGCGTCGTTGATTCAACGCCATAAAGACCTCCATCGCGAAGACCGCACCCTCATCAATCTGGCGAGGCTTCAAGGAAGCAAAATTCACTTCCACCTTTGAGGCACTTCCTGCGGACTCCTCCTCATTCATTTGTGTCGGTAGTGTCGGTGGTAAATCAGCTAATTTGAGGTGTCAGAAAGCAGAAGTTTGAAAAATTCGGTGTGTATTATACGATTGTTTTAAAAATTGACAAGAGGGAATCTTTAACAAATAAAATAGCGTTTTATTTTGCAAACAAGCATAAAATTCGCTACCTTTTGGACTCTGGACACGACACATTTCCTTGCTGGAGGGGGACGCACTTGGGAACTCGGTTTCATGCAGGCTAGAACAAAGTGATTCTCCTATTTGGGTTGAAAGCAACTTGATGAAAAGGTGTTCCACGATTGCGAGCTCACCTGGAGTCTTCGCTTTTGTCCAAAAGTTGGTTGGTCTGTAGGGCAAAACGAAATGTATTTGATCAGAAAAGGAGAGTTGGAAGAATGTTAAAGCGATTGTATGGTTACTCACATCTCGGGCCGAAGTCTGGGGACTGCTTGGAGTCGCGCGTTCCTCCTTTTTCACAGACTTGGGCTCCGCGTTCATGGCTTTCGCTTAAATGGAGACAAACTCTTCAATTTTAATCATTTGGACACCTATTTTTCTGTGTTTCAAAGTGATACATGCAGTGAAATTACTCAATTCTTCAACACTGAAGGCGTGTGGTATGCCGTGAATTAAACGGGGCACGTTGTTGCCCCACTGACCCCTAAAATTTCCCGGTGGTCGATAGTGGGCAACAACAGTCACCGCCGTCTTGTCCGCCGACTCGGCTACTCCCATGCCCACCGCGGTTGTATTCTTCCAAATTAGCTGAGAAAAATGACCTAGGAGGGCGTGAATTATTTGGCATTCAGGTTAAAAAGGCCAAATATCACCCACCACAGCGGATTGGATCTTCTCCAACAAAGGGATAATTCTTTATCTCATTGTACCACAACAATGTGACCTGAGCGGCTAAAAGGAATGAAAAGAAAAACCTTATCTTCAATGGAAGAGGCTGCTGAGTTGGTTGGATTATGCACTAGTTAGTGTCGTTGCCTTAAGTAGAATTGGGTTGGGAAATCTACACCGAGGCACGCTCCAGCTGTAACCGACTTGACAATCTGACTATACTAAAGACATTGATGGAAACATGATCGTCTGCGATGAGGGACTGATGTGGAAACCCTAGGCTGTAACTTATTTACAGATAGTTTAATACGTGGAGAAGAAGCACAGTGTTTTGAATTTTGAGGATTTATATCTACTGCTAGATGCTGTCTACCAGAAATATCCTTCATTGGAGGAGAGCCGTCTAATCTGGCCAAATTTTCACCGACATCAGGAAGTCCACTGTGTCGGAGGCCATTTTCACGAGCCAGCACCGCCGCGTAGGCTTGCGCCGACTCCGCGAGATCCAATCCCATTACAAGCGGAGTGCAACCATGAAGTCGTCTTAAGCTAGTCGATGAAATGCATTTAAGTAGAGTGGTTATGATCGTCGAAATACGGTGGGTAATTTTTAACTTGCGGTAATCAGGACATGCATTTCGAATAAACAACTAACTAAAGTTCCGAAATAATAGCAATTTTTTATTATCAAATACATCTTTATATAAAAGGCAGTTAAAAATTTTTTTTAACCAAATCTGGGAGTAATTTGTTAACATAAGTTGCATTCCAGAAAAATGCATAAAGTTACCGAATTCTATTAAAAAGAATTGTTTTACAAGATAAAAGATTCAAACTGCTCATTCTTTTTATGCTTGCTATCCCTTAAAGAATGGAACAATACATATTTTCTTCCGATAGGGAGTAGAATCACAAACAACCCACTAGCTCGATTCGAAATAAGAGGTGGTTTCCACCAAGAGATGCAGATTTTTAAGGAGAGCAACTTACAAATTGTGCGCCTTAATGCCTTCCTTGTTGAATGTGAGGTCGACTTTCATCGGGGGAGGTGTGACATGCAGGCGATTGACGCGATCCTCTTTATATACGCATTACCGACCAATCAAAATGGAGGGCTCAAATAACTTATGCCGTCGAATTTTGTCATGCAAAACCAGTCCCCCCTTTAGACAGAACAGTTAAAAGACACTCAAAACAACTTCAAATCTAGGCGTGTTAAAAATTTTCCATTCAAAATATCCGTTATCTGGTTTTTTTAATGAAATAAACAAAACGCTTTGACAATGAATATAATGTAAAAAATGCACATATAATGGTATAAACGCCTTGACGTGCCTAGGGAAATAGGAAATCTTTCAGCCACCAAGGCTATTACGTTTGGTTTCTGTCTTTAAGTACAGTACGCCTGATAAAACTCTGAGGTCAAGATGTAAGCGACGTATTCAATTCTCTCTGCACAAAGCTGGCTTTTTAACTCGCCCCGGGAAAAGTGAATTAATTATATTCGTCAAGCTGAAAAGCCTGATTGGAATTAAGAGTACATTATAAGTGGGAGCTCATTTCCTTTGGGTACACCTATTCCTTCCAAAATTAATTATCCTCTCCTTTTTCACAGACCCAGCGGAGCATCGTGGTGACTGTGATTCCTGGTGTTGGCACAAATTTTACCCAAAAAATGTTGCAAGCTGGTCAGAAATCATAGAATGAGATTTATCTTGTAGTGCTGCAAAATTTTGCTGCCATTTCTCGACAAATTTCATAAATTTTTAAACCTAAATTTCATCATACATTCTTGTCGATGCTGTAATTAATATACGTAGTATTTGTTTCCGGTCCCAAATACTTTTATTTGAATTTGGCACCAAAAAATCTGCAAACGGTAAAATTTGTGCCTCCTTCACCTACCGCCTTCATTGACAGGTAATTAATGCGTCTGACTGCCTCAAACATGAAAGCCTAATCAGCAGACCCTCAAGTCCATCCACCTGGTTTGTGAAACCACTTGGAAGATTTACGAGAATATCTAGCTTAAGAGGGCATTGCGACCAACCCACTTCAACAAAGTCGGCATTGACGTGAATGACACTGTCGGTTTTTGGTCTTGACGTCACAATAACGCATCCGCGTGTCCTCGCTTTCGCACGAGCAGCCTGAGGGCGTAAGTTCCTTCAAAGCTTCGCTTTTGATGTCAGAATGCGTGTGGTCAGTGTCAAAGGCGATGAGCAACAGCGTAGGACTCAAAATGTGGTTCTATGTGACTTTAGCGAGCCTGCTTTAGGTGACTTTCAAGATGATGACACTGATTTATGTCTTTACCACAGAATCCCACATTTAAGTTGCATAGAGGAAAGATAACTTAAGTAGGTGGTTAGATCGCCGAAGCCTCACACCAGAAGGACTATTGAAGGCACATTAGATGAAGATAGTCAACCTAATTGCCTTTTCTGTACCACAGATGGTATTGAACGACATCACACTCGACTAAGATGTCTTGAAGCCATCTGTAATTACACGAGGCAACTGGTGTCTGGAAGAAGTACATCTACTCCTGTTGAAGTAAATTTGAACTCAGGGGTAGAGATAGTTGGAGTGGAAAAAATTGTGCGGAGGGGAAGGACAACTGTAAGCACTTCCATTAAGCAACATTATGTCCCCTTGGCGAGCGACTGTCCTATGAAATGTACTGATCGTAGGGCCATGGACGGTGTCTTAAGAATTCCCTCGCAATGCAAATCACTAAGAGCATGACTCGATAAAATTTAAGAGATGCATCTCCGTTGTTGGGATTAAACGTATTTCCCTCTCCTTTTCATGAAAAATTGATACATGACCTTTGTTCCTGTCTCGATGGTGGGGAAGAGTGACCTCATGGAGCGTCAACGGGGATTTTTATGATGTGGAGTTTGCAATCCAACTAACTGACAATGAAAGGAGGACGTTGAGCACTTTCTCCTAATTTGACTCAAATAACAGATAGCTGTAAAAGTCCTCAGCAAACCACACTGTAGAAAGGCAGCGGTACCCAGCGGACTGCGTCATTCCTGCTCCATATGACATTCATCACTGCAGGCGCAACACTTCATTAGCAACATGAAAGAATGTCTGAAAGTCTGGGTAAAAGACCTTTTTACTGCGTTGCTGGGTGGTATGTTCACAGGATATACCGTGAGAATAAAACTGTCTCTAGCCTAAGACTTGTACTTTTCATCCTCCTGTAAGACTGCTCATTAATGGGTTAAAAAGTTTGGTGATGTCTACAACGCGTTGCGTCTGGTGGATATGGAGCCGAACTTTTACCTGGAGTCAAGGGAATTTTCCCCCACCTTGACTTCATCAATGTAGGAGACACATTCTTTCCGTCATTTCAGTCTATTAAATTTTGCTTTCTCCCCACAGACAATTCAGAATGAATTTGTACTTTTAACTCCTTGCATTTGACACCTGTAGTATTTATGGTTGATATTAAGCGAGAAAGGATTATTCGCTATGATATTTACGCTAAAAATCAGCGAAATTCTGCAATAATCTAATGGATATTTGACATTCCTTAGGTAGTTACACTTACCAACTCTACTCTTCTTCACTTTCGAAGGAAAATAAGGCGTGAGTGTGCACCGATATGGTCCCTTTCACTTTGTGTCCAGCGATTATACAAACGAGAAACTTGAGAAATGCATAAATTCCAGTATTTTGATTGTACACAACTACTGACATGAAGTAAATTCAACCGAAGACCTTATTTGACAATCAGGTTTGCTTAAATGAACCAGATATAATAAAGGATTTAATCACATGTAAATGTGAGAGACGCAGTATTTGGTTCGTCTACAACCCCATTCAGAACACAAGGTGACAGGTGAGACTAAATTCCGTGATTCCGTCTACACTGGCTTCAACGATGTGCGATTCTCATTTGCCCGTATATCGATGTAACTTCTCTGTGTATCACAATACTTATAGTAGTTACACTGCACCATCTACAGATCAGTCTTCTCGAGCGAGAATTCCGTAGTTGGAGACCAAAAGGAGAAACGGTCGTGTCCCCGCACATAGGGAAGAAATACTGCTTATGCAAGATTTTTCAAATGCATGGATTGGTTGCCACCACTTTTTGGCAACGCGGATACTTATGGCTCAGCTTTCGTACTTATACTAGGAAATTTGGCCTGTAGACCATTCAATTTGCCTCTCGGTAATTCCATGCGTCTGCAATACACCTTATTGTCATGGCAATTTTTATTTCAGGAAAGACAAGAGGTTCCCCCAGATGATTATTGGAAAACAACAACGATTTTGCCCATCTATTACGCTAATCCTAGAATGCGTAAAAAGTCACTTATATGAGTAGAGAACTTTACCGAAGTATACAAAATAATAAATTCCCATTTCGTGTTTTATAAGTCCGCGTAGGTACTTTTTATAAAATTCCGCAAAGACACTAGATTCAATAGTGTTGCAAAGTGTTTATGATAAGTACAGGGTCTAATTAGCACTGGGATCACCAAGAGTGAATCTGTAATTCACTTTACACCTTCTAATTGTGTGCTCTTAATTTCATTAGTATGCAATCAAACCGTCGTTATGTGAGATTTTCTTGGGGTTCACTGATCACTAATAAATTAAAACTAAGGTTAATTAAATTCTTTTATGCGCACATAATTTTGCTCACCTTCAAAATGTTATTTTGTTATAATTTGTTACCACGTGAACCGCGTCAACTAAGCGTCCGCTTGTTTAGGGTGCCCAGCGTTCGTTGGATGTTTTGCTTTACTATTTACTTCTTTTAGTAGACACAGAAGGAACAGCTAAGCAGGAGTAATGTATTTCATGCCCTATCTGTTTTGCATTTCATTGCTACTTGATTTTAATTCAAGCACTACATGAACGTTCCCACTTGCAATTTTTGCACTGAAGTGGTGAATATATTTTATTTTAACTAGCAAGAAGTCCTTATAGGAATGTGGCTAATTTGCTGTTTTTTAGATACCTCTAATCGCTTTTTTTCTTATCGATGAGACAGTAATGCATGGAGTACATTTTCCTTCGAACTAGCGCTCTTGCATCGGAAGGATGTCAAGGGAGGCGCCACCGCTTATGCGAAAGCTTCTGATCGGTCAGCTAGACAGGCTCCAGTATGGTTTTACTACCTCGAGCGAGGGGGCTTTGGTTCACAGTGTCCTATTTCTGCCCCGCCGCCAACTCCTATTCTCATTGGTTTGGCTTCAGGGGTACGCTGTTGAAGCTTCAAGGCCGCAGTCTCCTGCTTCCTCTTTCTTACTGGATGATGGCACTGGTTCGATTTTGGTCACAATCCGTCCAGACACGGATCTACCTCCCGTCGGCACCTATGTTTCAGTTGTTGGAGAGCTCGAACGAGCATCCGTCAGTCCTCAGGATTCCCTTGCTGAACGCTCGCCCTCTTTGACCGCGTGGCGTTTGGCCGCTCGTACCGTCATGTGTCTCTCGCTTGCGGATAAGTGCTTTTCCGGCGACGACAATTCCGTCCAAAAACGTGCTCCCTCCTCGGCCTACGCTGAACTTGCCTGGCCGATGGAAGTTATGGACATGAGCCAGACATTTTTTACTCCTGTTTAGTCTACCCTTATCGAAAAATTTATTCATATTTTTGTACATGCTTTTTTGTCTGGCTTAAGAATTCCGATTCTCTTTGTTCATACGAGAATTTTTCTATTCTTCCGAAGCAGTGGACTTAAAAGCTTATTCCTTTAAAAAAAGTTTATAGAAGACATCGTGGGACGATTGCAATTTCAACTTGTAGTGCGTTGGAAGACGAGTTGGGTTCTGTTTAAGAGCTTGCCAGTTGCTGAGAAAAGTGCTTTCAAGAAAGTGAAACTCTATCCTCCACGTCGTAGCGCACACTTCCGTTTCTTGAGATGGAGGGTTGATTGGTTTGTCTCCAGCATGGCAGCTCTGAAGCACGGCGTGGCCATTCGTGTCCTCCTAAGTTTGAATTTTAATGAATAAATAGGTTGCCGCAAGATACCGCGCAGCTAGTGACTGACATCAGTGACCGAGGCAACTTTTTATCCTCACTACGATGCGATAAGCCCCTGTGAGAAGGCCCAAACTGGATGCATGTTTCTGCCAGAGTATGCATTGATAACAAAGGAGGTGTGGCTCTTTTCGCATCAGTAGTTGTTCTCTTAACACAAGTACTGGAATACAGGAGTCAGCCAATCAGTTGGTTAGCAGGTGATGGCGATATGACGTTCCGTTTGGTCTCCGTGATGCTCAAGCGGAGGCAAGAGGCAAGGTGTTGACGTGGAGTCTGGACGAGTTGGCCGCCGGAAGATGGATCAGGTGACGAGGATGGTGAGCCGTCTAGAGACCTCCCAGACTGCCGGCACTGCATCCACGATTTTGCAATGACGCGTCTACCTGTTCACTCGCCGCCATTGTTCGTGGACAAATGGCCGAGACTACGCTAGTCGGAGGCTCTCCCAGACCCTGTTAAACAGTACCGCTTTAGAGGTGCTGTTATTTCATTTCATGCTCATCGCTTGAGCTGAAGTTTGTTACAGTATAAGTGACTAACTTATCACGGGCAGTTCATCAATTTGAGGTTTACTTCAACCAATCCTTCCTGAGCTTTCGCCCTCGCTATTTTCCATAGCAATGATAGAAACTGCCAGGAATTAGTCACTATGTTCGAGTTTTCTTACTTTCCATGATTCTATTTTAAAGGAAATGTCCCTCAATGGTGATTAATGGGAGTGCATGGATACATTAAACTGTTATTCCATAAGTTTATATATCACTATTTTCTATTACGACAAAAAACGATCGCTGGTTTTTCCAAGTAGATAATGATATTCCAGAGCCTTGGCAGTGCATTTAGAGTTACGCCTTTCTTCCCTCTCGGGCTAGGATGTCCCTCTATTACTAATCTTTTTAGAGCAATTTTTCACAAATCTAATAAATAAGGAAACTAAAAACGGATTATTCACACAAGCCTTAAGTCGAAAAGTTGAATCTGTCAATAACCTTGGCGTGCAAATAGTCGGTCGCTTCACGGACGGCCCGTAGCATCTGTCCGGAGAGATAACGCGTCAGCGTTCGCTCGAAATCGGGGCTCTGTTGTAGAGTAGCAAGAATACGACGGCCGTAGTACCTGAATGTCACAGAAGGCGCCAAGTAAGGTTAATGCGTCAACTTTGGAGGTGGCACCACCGAATTTGTTTACTCCTTTACTACTGTCAAAGTGAAAGTAGAACTGTTTGACCTCTGCATAAAGTGGCGTTATGGCTTGTTAACGGTGTACTCCACAAGCTAGTCATGCTATTCATGCGCTCTAGTGATTTTTAAATAAACTCGGGTATTGCAGAGAAGATTAACGGGTGAGGAAAAAACTAGGAAATTGTTGTATTTATGTCTAAAGTCCATTGGCTAAAATTGGGTTTGACTCCCAACTGCCGTGGTGCATCTAATTAGCGCCGACATATTGAAGCCAAGTCTGATACAAATAGAAAGTGGTTAATTTGTTTTTTTTTTATTTTGAATAAATGCTGTTGATAATGACTTACAACAGAATAGGAGTGCTTTTATGAAATGATCTAGATGTCACTCGGGTGGGTTTATTCACTGTTAAACCTTTATTAACTTCCTGTCGAATCAAAGTCAAACTCAAGCATGTTTTCGGTCAACCAAACCTTTTTCTCTCTTAATGAATTTCCATTCCTTTTTCTAAGTTGCAACCTCAATGGAACAATTTGACGAAGAAGTCAATTCCAGACAACCAGAATGGATAGTGTCATGAGTTTGTGGCTTACCGAGTCTCCTGATTGCTGTCTAGAAGGAACTTTCCCAATGCCACAATCACGCGTTCAGTAATGGCCTGAGAAGAAGCGCTGCTGACACCGGTGGCAGAGGCGTTGAGGCTCGGAGTGGAGGCTGCGCCACCGCACACCGTGGTCATGGAGCCCCAGGAGGAGAGGTTCCCGCGCTGATTGGCGGCTTGCAGAACCCGACTAGGGCCCAGACTTTCGATGAGGTAACTCGCCTGGATGGCGCACTGCCGTCGCACTGCTGCGTTCTTGTGACTGTTTCGAGGCAAAGCAAATTGACAAGTTTTTCCCCATCCCAATTCCACACTCCGTGTGGCAGAGCTTCAAGTTGAAATCCTGCTTTGTAAAGCTATTTTGGGTTCATACGTTGCATAAGTATCAAGACAAAGTGACTTTATTGCTTAGATTACAAGTTCAGTAAATCTATGGTAGGTGGAATTTCTTCCATTGGGACAGAACAAATTGCACCAGTTTGGATGCGCTCTTGTGCTGCATTCCTTAAAGCAAAGAATGCATTGCATCACCAATGTTAAAAAAGTACCCAACTGACACCAAAGAGCGTTTATCAAGGGACATCCAGATTTTTGAAAAGACCACAATGACAATATGGACGTGGTAATTATAGTCCAGCAAATTGTTAATCGGCTGTATGTTTTGACAATTTTTTACCGAGTCATGTTTAAGTAAAGAACGAAGTGGTTTCCATTCTAAACAGTTTTGAAAGGGTTAGGGGTTTTGAAACCTGCGAAGATTATACCACAGAAAGTGGTTCCACTTTATTGAGGGATTGAATTTCAGCTTTCCATTCTAACGGCAATGGTGATGCACTGGTTCTACGAGAGGAGAATCGGTCTCCAGAGTATGCTAATAATTGCTAAGAGGAGATTGTGTTCTGCCACGGGATGGTATTTCCCACCATCGTACGTTACGTGTAAGCTTTCATGTAGTAGCCCTCCTTCATCGGTCACTCAAACGCCTAATTGACGCCATCCGAAATTCAAGGGACCATGAATTGGGAGCATGGCCAAATCCAGCATTCACATTTTTGCTTTTTACACGACCAGGTAATGCCTGTTCATCTATTTTTGTCAACTGATTACAGACGACTAGGGGTCCTTCCATTCGGACAGTTTAAGAACTTTGTAGATCTGGAGGCTAGTTATTAGGCGATGAATTTGTGCGCCCTAATCACTAAATGTCAGTGTTGCAATGATATTCCTCCTTAGGGAAATTCACAAGTTTTTCAGTCATTCTTATTCCAGAATAGATCAAAATCCTAAACTCTGCATGCATTAATCTTTGATTCCGTCCAAAAAAGTCCACCATGGAAAAATCGAATCAGATTGTAGCAAAATAATTAGTAGAATGCAACAAAACCGAGCATCTCAATGTTTAAGGTTTTCCAATTACTAGTGGAACCACCTTTCCTGTGGTGCGCTTATAAAGTCTTCCAGTGAGGTTCAAAACGGAGGACATACCCCAATCCATGCTGGAAGAGAGCAATAAGGGCTCTGTTGGGATTGACAGACCGGACGAGATCGCTAAGTGCAATTGCAACCTCCCCACGCAAAAAGGCTGCCGAGGCCTCGCCCGTCTTGGCAAGAAGCACACGCACGCAGGTGTCCACGTGGGGGTCGAGAAGGCGACCCAGACCACGGAAGAGGTCAGCTATCGTCTTCACGGCTTGTCTGGATACCTGTAGGGAGTGGGAGCACTTTAATAGTTTTGGTTCTTTAAAATAAGCATTATCATTCCTTTGGCTTCTTATTCTCTTCTAACACGGCGTTCTTTCAAGAAATTGTTAGTACTGAAGGGAATGCATACCATGCCACTTCATTCAGTGTCGGAAGCTGGTAGTTAGTTGAGTAAAAGACAATGTTCAAATTCGATAGACTTTGAACAATTGCAAATAGTCTAAGGAGACCATTGCAACAAGGGTGTCAGGAATGTTGTTGTCTAGTAAAAAATGTTATTGGAAAAAAGTATTAAAGATGCTTGGTTGGCACTTTGAATGGCCTGGGATTTGGATGAATACACTCACATAATGGCTTATTGAAGTTGTCATAGTAACGCAGAATAGACTATGGATGTGCGGTTAACGTAGCATTTAGCAAAAAAGTTGTGTTTTTCCATCTTTGAGTGGTATCTTGTGGGTTCATTGGAATTCATACAATGAGTAGACAGTCAAATAACAGAAGGGATGGCCATAAAACTCAAGGTTTATTTAGATTTACATTCCGTTCCATCAGAAGCACATCCCCTTCCATTTCCAAAGTCATTAGCTCATACGACAATGGAAGAAAGTGCTGTGTAGGCAAAGAAAACAAGGGATACATTATTGTCATTTCATCTTTGAGGATACTGTGAATCTATAAGCAGAACTCGAAGTACCTGGGAGCGGAGATTTCTGCATTCAGAGGTAACAACGTGAATGATCGCGGAATAGGTATCGGGAGAATTGGAAAAGGCTGTGGGGTGCTTCAGGGCCAGTGTAGAGAGGCTCAGAAGACCGTCGACTTTGTCCTCCCAGTCCGTGGACTCGATTTGATTGAGGGCTGAGGTGACATCTCGACACTTGCCTGAGTCATTCATGGAGGGGTGATTTTGGGAGAGGCGTGAGAGAGTGGCTTCTCTGGAGGCGCTGTCAGGACTCTGCTGGCGAATGGTCCTAAAAATATTAAGACGCACTCATCAGTGGTCGAGGCTTACGACTCATCTGCCAAACGAAAGTGTGAATAAGGTACTGAGCGCGGTTTGTCAATCTTGTATTTAAAACATGGCTTGATGAAAGGTCGCCAGATATAAGAATATGTAGGAAATGACAACCATATCCCTTGTTACGGTGGTGCTCCATAACTCCTGAGTTTGGGACAGTTAAAAATAGGATTCACTAAAAGAATGTGGCGAGTAGCTGCACCTGCGCTGAAGGCTTCCATCGCGAGGACCAGTGGGTGGTCGTCTGGTAGGGACCCCATGTGGTGGCCTTTGCAATGACGGCGTCCGCGTGGGTGTCTGAGGTCCGTTTCTTGCTGAGTCTAGATCTCCAAAATCTCCCCTCCTCTCCCGTTGCAAAGCTGCAGTGTAGACGTCAAAGGACCGAGGTTACTAACTAGCAAATGCTCACATTCTGGACCGCATTGTCGTACAGCAACATAATTAATCTAAGTTGAATTCGTCTTCTGTTAGAGAAGGTTACGTGTCACTAGTATAATGTATTCATTCTACTTGTTTATCCTTGCAAATGCAAAAGAACGCGTTTGTGTTAATAACCTTTATTGTGAGATACCCTCTTAATGTTGCGACTTACTGAATCAGAAACACTCCCAAGTAATTTCAAACGATAACGAAAGAGTTCGTTCAATGGAGCGTGTCCGGCCGTAAAGTGGGTCCAATATTATTTGGTACAATGGCAATTTTTTGATAAAGACGCTCATAAAGAGAAAGGTACTACTCTCTTGCACCATTTGTATGGAAAAGTGGATGCAAATCTCAAATTCATCTCTGTCATCAAGTTCCCTCACCTTGGGAATAAAGTTTAATCAAATGAGTGGAGAAAGGGTTGCTTAAGCGATCCCACTCATATGTCAGACACAGGAGGCCTGAATTACTCTTTTCACAATCCAATTAGGAGAAGAAGCTATAGAATGGAACAAAAGCACTTGTGAAGACCATTTTAATCTACCGGATCTAGTACGGCATTGAATGCGATAGGACGCGCATCGGAGACATGAGCAGAAACACTCGAACGCTCCTTCTGGCCATGTGACCCAGTATTTTGAAAAGAATATTTGTTATTATGAGACGCAAAGAAAGTAGAGAAGTATGCACAATTTGTTCTATTACATCTGCAGCACTAAAGTATTTCAGGGTACACATGCTAACAGTATTAAAAAGCAGACATAAAGCCAGGAAGTCTACATCGAAGTGTCCATTTTATTGAAAAGGTTCTAGCACTGTGGAATGATCTTTACGACTTGGATAAAAGAACGAGAAATAAAACATTTGACAAACATCATAGTTCTCAGTGGAATAGGAATGCCTAAAACTTGCTTTCATATGAAGGAGCCGATGAAACGCATTAAGAAGCCACCGAAAACATGTTACTCCGGTTTTATACAAAGCTAATAAATAATGAGCGCCCTTTAATCTCAAACTTCACTGAACCATGTCAGGCACATTTTGAGCCTCCTCCATTGTTTTGCGTTCCGCGATAGAGAATCAGAGAAGTTTCACGAATCAAATATTTTCCTCACAGAAGGAAGACATCTTAAGGACTTATTAGGATTCCCAATTCACTAGTAACACAGATGTGGCTAAGGCTTCATTCTTCCATCCAGGTTGAAAGATTAGTCAACCAATAATACTTTACACTTACAGGCAGATTTCACATTGTCACCTTGCCTAGAGCGACTTGACCTCCGACCAAATCCTCGTGGCGCGTGACCTTCAATGCCTGTCCTCAGGGTGTTGTCATCATCCTAGAATTACGTTGAAATTCAAAACTGATGTTTTGTATGTGTACGAAATGGCGCATGCACAAATCTGGCTAGTTTTTCTTACCACCCAGATGGTTTCACTGTCAAGCATGTGTAAAGTTTACTCAATTGTAAACAATTTCATGTCAACTTCTACTAGTCGGTCGCATTTCGTGAGACCACAGATCTGTACTACAACAATAAGTGATACAAAATCCCCTATTTGTCATAACCAGCCTTACTGACATTTAAATTCAAAAGTAGATGAAGTCATACATCAGATTCTGGCGAGCTAGATGGCTCTGCTTTTCGTCCGGATTCATTAGTCGCGTTATAATCATCACCGTTGTCATTTCGGCCATCGGCGTCGCTTCCATCATGTTTGATTGAAGTTCTGCTAAAATCTCCTAAGGGCGTACGATAGTTAAAATGTGAAACCCGAAAAGTGGGACATAAAGTAAGGGCAATCAAGGACGTACCAAACGGATGCATACTCCTGCCAACAATGTCAACTTGAGGATATTGGAAAGCACAATCTGGACTGGGGAGCATCATATTTTTGGCCAGTTCATGTTGACCTGCAACAGACAGCAATTAAATGGTCATTTGGTTTGTTTTCAGTCAGCTACTATCAGGTTGACCCTTCCATTACCTAACCTTTGATTTTCAATTAAGAATGTGCGGACAAACTTAGTCTTGAGTGCGAGGCACGAAATTGGATAAATCTGTTGACATTCAGTTTAAGCAATCTAGATTGAAAGCTTTCATGGAAGCAGGAACTCTGAATTGGTAGTAAAGCCTAATGGGGTTACTATTCAAGCCTTATTTGAGCGGGAAGAAAGTGTTCTCACAAGGTGGAGAGTTGCATGAAGCAAATGAGCCAACGTAAACACATTATAAAAAGTTTTCTCAAAGCCCACAGTCTTCCTTAGTTGTCATGAGGTTAACGAACAGCAGTAATTTCACATTTATTTGACAAAATTATCAATTAAGTCTTGATAAAGCCAATTCCAAAAATTGGGGCCCATCCGCTTGAGGTTAAGGCGCTACTTTTATGCAATTCAGCGTCAATATGTTACAGTCGGCGTGTACAAGTGGCAAAACTGAAACGGAAAGAGGTTTTTGCCCAAAAATTCCCCCCTCCCCCACACTTTCCATCTTTTGCATCTTGGACCACTTCCTGTCGCGTGTGCAAAAGGCATAAGCCAACTGCCCAAGCCTTACAAATATTTTTCTTCCGTTGCACGTTCATTGTTTCAAGCACTAAGATGGTCAAACCACGTATTCTGTAACATTCCACTATTTTGTGCTACAAGCTAACATTTGGCCTTGATAAAAATTCCAAAGCACGGTTCCAGCAGCGTCAAAAATATTACCTATTCAAAAACGTCAAAGTAGGTGTCATAGGTGCAATAAACGACAGGAAGAAAGTAATCTCCCGCCCCCACAATTTGTCTTTGCTTGATGAAGGAATGCCGCCTTACTGTTTTGTTCAACACCGAAACCGGATTTTTATTCAGCAATATTGGGGGGATAGAGATGATATTGCAGTGTAATATCTAAAAACAAATAATGGAAAAGTCGCTGTCGTTTAGATGCTATAACTGTGCAGCACCAGAATGACCTAATAACCACCTAAATTTAAAGTTCATTTTGTCCTCCAACGAGGCGGATTGGAACATTTTATTCACCCCTTTTTCTCCTTAACTTTCCCTGGTGACAAAGAAAGCTAGCTTTAAGACCAAAGAAACTTATAGCGCTTATTATAGGCAGAAAATTTTGTTAGGAATGCACAATTAGTACTCGTTGCTGGTCGGTGAATTGGGTGTTCAAAGAGAGCATTTTAATGACACTCACCCCGCAGTGGTCCTGCATGCAAAGTATGGCAGTCGGTGGGTGAGTTGGAAATCTTGCCGCAACTGGGGGATTGATCGAATTTGGGACTCTGATGGTGCTGAGGCAAACCGGCTCGACTTGTCGATAGAGAAGAGGGTATGCTGGGTGGTGTGAGAAAGCATGGATTGCTTCCACAATTGAGTCTAAAGAGAAATTTTTTTTCGCGATCAAGTAAGGACAAAGTGATACGCAATCCAGTACTAGTGTAAAAACATTTACCTGCTACTGCCTTACACAAGTATCATAATTTCCTCAAAAATTTGCGCCAAAATCTAAATACTTTCACATATCAGTGGCGTTATTGTCACTATGACTCATTTTGACGGATACTTTCATATTTATTTAAGCTTGCTGTAAAGCGGTAAGTTTGATCTTTTGTTAGATTAAATGAAACCATGAATATGTAAAGACCAACTGTTACTGACAAGTAAAAGGCTATCGGTTGTCATAGTTACGGTTATTTGTTCTTAGAGTTGTTCGCAGCTGTAGGCCTCACTTTTATGGCGCATCACAAGCACTGTTGGCCCTCAAACATCTTTTGGAGAGGCTCAATTCAAAGAAAGATAATCAAAGACTACGTTATGCCACCGAGTATTCTTCCCTAGAGTTCACCTTCTACAAAACTAGGCCGAATTACAATGTTTTGTATAATGCGTGCTATTTTGGTTGGTAAGATCGTACCGATTAAATGATGGTGGGTGTTAGGGGAGATCGTATCCAATTGATCACTGAGTTGTAAATTTGTTAAATCAAGATCTGTGTTCACTCGAAGAGACCGCCTTTGAGAGGATTTTCTGCGAGTGCGAGAGGCCTGTTTGAACCAATTGAACATATTACAAATGAGGAGCGAAAGGGATGTCAAATTATTACTAGTGGTTCCTTTCAAGCCTAGTCAATGTATTCATTAAATCAGTAATAACCAACTTAAAAAGAATACTCGTGTTTAACAAAAAACCTCCCCAAAACAAGATTCTAACAGAAGGTGTGGGATATGCGAAAGACCTAATTAATAATTTGTAACTAGAAGGGGCCCTTTCCTTTTCCTTATTCGATTTTTGTTGACATTTGGTAGACGGACAAAATGTTAACAATGCAGTAACGAAATCAACAGAAGGTATTATTTACCTCTGAGGGCTCGATAGTCTTCATCAACTTGCGATTTCCAACTACGCAGTTCTCAGATGTCGATGGGGAAATTGCGAGAGAGCTCGAGATTACCCTAGCCGATCCCGTACCACTGCCCTCATAGGCGACTCCCATCTGCGCCTCAGCGGCTGCTATTACAAGAAGGCAAGACAAGAGTCCACTTATTTGAAGTGGTGATAAGAGTGGGCTGAAAATGGAATCAGATAACTTTGTTAGATGCAATTTTGGCTGAGGCTCAAGTCAAACTAAGTCATGCTTGTGGAAAAGATGCTAGTGTGTTCTGTTGCTACTAGTTAGTTCCTACTTCGTGGATCAATGGCAGCGTGGGAATGCAACCGCATGTATTAATGAAGTCTTGCATGAACGACGTCGAATACCGAGAGGAGACTTCAAGCAGAGCAACACTATAGGGATGGGGCTCTCGTCCACTCGGCAGTAAGAAGGTTGAAGATAGACATGTATTTGTACGCTAGCGACTATACTGTTTGCGCTGATTTCTTTCCACAGGGGTGGCAGCCATTAATGATATTTGGTGCATGCGCTATTGACTGCACGGTGAACATAATCATTCAGGAATATTTTCCAACTTTGGAACATTAACTCTTCTAAAAATTCCTACCAACTACCAGTCAAAGGAAGATAATAACTTTGTAGAACCCTATTTTCTGAACAGTATATATCTTTCCGGTTGGCTTATTTTTCCAAGTGAACTTAGCCACAGCAGCCAAAAGCAAGTATTTTAGAGCGTGATCCTTCCGGATTTTAAACAAGTTTGCTGATTTGTCGAGTGGGGAGTCAAAGTGCTCAAATCGAAAATAGAAAAAAAAACTTGAAGGGGTTTTTTGGGGTGGAGATTTGTGGCAAATGTAAGGCAAGATACTTGATTGTTCTGGTAGTAACCCCGCTAGCTAGTAATTTATTCGTCTAATTTAGCTACGGGCCAAAAACTAGAAAAATTAGTATCTAGCTACTTTTAGACCATAAACATTTTCCATCTGTTTTATCCTTTTCAACCTAATTAGTGTGCTATTGACAAGATTTGGCACAGGGAGTTACAATAAACTGGTAAGGAGAAGGCTTGTCACTTTGTGTGAATCTCTTATGGATGCCGAAATGGCCTCGTCGAAAGGTGGAAAAACCGAGGTATGGTGCAGTTTTATCCACTGCGTTAACCTCTGTGAAGGATGATTGCGTTTGAAGGCTGGAGGTAAGTGAATGATGAACTTGCCTTGATTGTCTTTACAGTAGGAAGCACCAGAGAGGTTTAAACTGCGCCGTATCTCTGCACGACTGTCGAGGTCGAGAGACTGATACCCGGGGTTTTGGTTACTGACTGAACGTTGTGGGGACTGGAAAATAAATAGTTTGTGGCAAGCTAGGACAATAGGATACGTAGATGAGAGGGCAATTATGAAATGTCAACTGTCTAATCTTGTTGCGATGTCATCTCACTGGAAGCCACGCCTTGTTGTCATGCTTCAGGTAATGTAGTTGACGTAAAACCATCAATACTCACCCGACCACTCGACCTGGGCTCATTAAAATTCCTATCCAGGGTGGCGTTTGCCGATTGCGAAAGATTGGGCAAAGAAATGGGGCAACGTCTCGAAGGTCCAGTGGCAGAACCGACCACCACCACACTTTCCCTGGGGTCCCAAGGCAGTCGCAAGTTTCCATGCATCCGGCCCGCACTTGGCTTACGACGTTCTGTTGGCATAGAAACGAGGCAAAATTTAAGACACAGGTCTATTCGATGGCACCTTGAAAACAGAGCGTATTACGTCAAAACACCGCCATATTTGTTACCAATGCCCATTAAATAACTTTGCCGTTAGGTTGATAAGAATTCTCATTTAAAATCAGTAAATGCCAGTGATTTAACTCACAGTAAGCATTCAACCAATAATGAAGACGACTTCAACTTCTGAACGAGGCATGTAAGTACTAGCATAGCCGAACAATTTTCCACCGACTAGTACATGTACCTGTGTTTTTTTTTTTATAAAATTGGCCTTTAGTCGCCGCTGGGACGCATGTACCACCAGAATAATGTTCCTCTTTGAGTTTCTAGAAGTTTTCAAGTTCTCTATTACTCACTCACCCCCAAATGATTGGCTGAGAGCAAGTCTAGATGCACTTCAAGTGCACTTATGACCGCTCTAAATCCAGAGTGAGTTAGTTGGGTCCATTAGCAGATCTCAGCACTATAGTTACCATCTATTGATTATCGGGTTAGGGGGACGATAGGCTCCAGATCACTCCATCATGAATATCGCTTTAAGAAATCTCGAGGCAAGATCAAGCAGGAACACCCGAATATAGTGAGTGAAAACCGAAAATGTATACCTCAACGTCAACAAAAAAAATAGTCCAAGTGACGGGATTCGATGGATGTGTACATACAATGATTACTGTATGCAAAAGTCAGTGTGACATTAAATAGGAAGCATTTTCAGTCAAGTAGAAACATACCACAGATGGAAGATGAGGACTCGCAATCGACCTGCCCCACAGCCGACATTTTGACGGTGGAGTCTAATCGAGGTGGACGAACAAGGCGAGATTGACTATTGAGAGAGGGTAGGGGACGTTGAAAGACAATAGAACGCAAAGATGCCGCAGTATAGTGAATGGAAAGCTCCTCTTGCTCTCCCTCCTTCTCCTCCCTCTTGGCACTGTTGTTGCGATTTAGGATAGGCAACTGTGATTCAACACGGTAGATTAGAGCATCACTTTCTTGCTTTACTGCCACTGCCAGGCAATCGAGGGCTGCATTACGCACCTAAAGGAAGAATCGCAAAGACCCCTATGGGGGCTTGATATTTCTATGGATCTAATTAACTTTATTACCTTACGGTGGTTCAAAGAAATGCGTTTCAATCACGTGCATTAACACCAGGTGGAAGACAATAAGCACTTGTTGTCCTTCACTGTGCATTCTAGGTCGTTCGATGTCTGACTGAATTATGATAGGAAGTGAGGTTGGAATCGCAAAGTGAGATAAGTGAACGAACATGTCACTGCCCATCCCCAAAACTATTCATTCTTTGCTACCAGCTGCAAATTTCTGGGCCGCGTACAACTTCATCCCTACTACGTAGACGTCGAACAGAGTTATTCGGTCTGAAGGTCTTGCTGAAATCTGGGCGAATTCTACTGAGGTCTGCCTAATCCTAGAAGTCTTTAGATGCAGTCAGGCTTGGTTAAACATTTGGAAGAAAAAAGTTCTTTTCGTATCTTCATGAGGAAGAAGGGGGAAAGGGAAGAGGTAGTACTTCTTCCTCGTCTTTATTTTCGCTTGGAGGATAGTTTACCAAACCTTAAGTGATCATCATATCATATTGACATTAGCGCTATATAATAGACAATAGGCAGGGGCGATACTTCACATATAGGTAAAATTCACAATAGACTTCTGTCTAGTTGTGAAAAAAGGTGTAGATTGCCTTAGCAATTAGTTTGCCTGATAAACTATTTTAAGAGACTATGACTGAGCTGTTTTACCTATACGATTTTAAAATTGAATTAAGTACTAATTCGACAAAACGCATTTCACCTGCAGAGAAAGTAATAAAATGGAAGGCTAGATAAAAAGCAAAGTCAAAAATCTTACTAGAAACGACTATGGTGTGAATAAAGTGAGCCACAGTGTGATGAATGAACTTAGAGTAGCAGGACCGAACAATAGGTGCCCGAGCTCAATTCCTTCCTGTAATCCGATTGGTCAGCGTGGCTGTGCACCTGAGGCACACCTACCTGCCAACATTTCCCCTTGTAATTTACACGTGGCCACAAATGTCGCACGGTGGTAAGTTACTTTTATGAATTACCTAACAGCAGCGTTAAAATTGGCAAATTAATTCAACACCATGTTTACTTGTGACAAGAGTGGTTAGAGAAGTGGTAACTGTTGCCACAGCAACGTGGTTTGACTTAAGGTAGCATATTGTATAGAATGGCAGAGGCGCTACGCGACCGCACATTGCCTCGGTGGTTTATTGAATTCTCTAAATGAATCTCATTCCTCATTTTTTTGTTCTCAAGTAATCAACACAAGTTCGATCTAAACGTGATCAGCCTTGAAGTCAATGTGGTTAAAGTGTCATAATATGTAACTGCATTTCACTTACTCCTTCTTCCTTACATAACTACTTAATGAGAAAATTAATAGTGTGACAAATATGGAGCACTCTTTGTGCAAAATTTTAGTCAAGGCTACGAGGAAATGCCGCATTGACCCTGAAACTGAGTCTCGAACAAAGCATAATGCCAGATAAAGCGTTCTCAGGGTCCTTTTTTTCTTTTCCTTTCTCTACCAAGTGTTATTATTAGTTTAGAGCACAAGTCGTTGCTTTATGATCACGTTACGCTGTTCTTATAATGTCAACCCAATCTCCCACCATCGCGCGGGCACATGCATTGAGTGCAATCCAGGAAGGCAGCCTCCTCTACTTATATTTATTCAGTAGGACGTTTATTTTCCCAAACTTCTTGAACTCGCTCAGGAATCAGACAACCTTCAACCCCTGCTTATTTTCTTCAACCACGCATCTTAATTACTCGATTCGTCTCATTAAGCGGCTAAATTACCGGTTTCCAAACTACTTTGATTTTCCATTTACTCGCCCATCTGTTGTTTTTTTTCGCTTAAAAAACTAGAAGATCGATGGTAGAATGCTCCTTGTGATTGAGTATTTTAATGTTACTTCTGCTCTTTTTTGGCAGGCTCACTAGCCCTACTGCTTGGCGTGCGTAATATCGCCTCCATTAATGGTGGCCAATGATATGTGCTTTTTTGGGGGAGTGGAGAACGCTAATTCATCCCTTGAAGCACTTTTGCATTGTCGTCTGCGGATGTTACCGATTCACACCATTCCATTTAGCCACAGTCATAGATGTGTAAATGGTGAAGTTATAATAAGCGGTTTTTGCAAAAAAAATTAGTGAAGGTAGATGTGAATGTTAGCAATCTAAAGTATAAACTTTTGCATAGCCGTAAAGTTACCTTGTCACTCCTTATCTTTTGATTGCAACATGATTTGAACACTCGGACCGAATATTTTAAAAAATGTGTTAAGTGTAGATGGTGTCGTGGCAATTCAGTCTTCTATACAGCGTCTAGCATTTCAAACGTCTACGATTCATAATCCTAATATCTCCTCGATAACTTACTATGTGCTTGGGGTCCTTCAATCCTGGAACAATTACAGAATCCACAATCTCATAGAAGTTGAATACCGAGGCAGGGCAAAGTAAAAGTGCCGCCGTAACACAGTCAATTGCTTCCTTGCGTAGTCTTGATTTAACAGTGTCAAGTGTCTTTAAGTTGTCATCGTAACAACTAAGTATGGGAGCAGCAAGGTCGCGTACAATTGACCTCGAGCCTCCAGGGAGATGCAAAAGCTTCGCCACCAGTTGGGAGCCCGCGGTTCGAATTAAACGCTTGGGGTCAGAGAGGGCGATCCGTAGAAAGTTTGTAGCCAGATGAAAGATCCAGCAATACCCGTCTCCAGATTGGCTGCAAAGGGTGAACAATGGGTATTCTGAGCAAAACCAGACAATGAACTTCGTCCTTTTGATTTAGATGTTCGTTTTTTAACGTCTGGAATATCAAATAGTGTAGCAAGTGTAACTACAGCTTACTCAAGGATGTCGATAGTAAATGTGTCCGTGTCAAAGACTTTTTATTTCATCAGCCAAGTTCTGTGATCGCAATATCTGGGCAACCACTTTATTTGCGAATGACGAAAAGAACGCTTTATATACCAATACTGGGTACAACATCTACTCGCGTGTTTATACACGTTGCTATGGTTCAAAGGGCGAGAGAGATAGGTGCAGCATGACGGAGAGTCGTAATGTAGCCATGCACACACAAAACGATATGTACATTAGAAAAGTTAATTTTCTAGTGAAATTAATGCCCAGTAGTGCAGAGTGCCATTTTTTCGTTAGATGCTGTGGAGTTAGATGACTTCTGTTTATTCATAGACCTAAGATTAGGATCCAAATAGATGCGTGGCCGTAATGGTGCTTCATCGTAACTTCATGCCATGAGTCAAGCACAAAACATTCCATACAGTCACACAATTGGATGATTTGGGAATGGGCAGCGACTCGCCCATTTATTTAATCAACTAATAAAACTTATCCAATCCATTTGCGCAAGGATAAATTAGCCAAAACTACAAAGTCTGCACTGGGACAGTTTTGACCAAACAACCATTACCTCTGTAATTTATACTTCTCCCTTTCTATTTATGACAAAACTAATAGTTAGTTATGATTTCTCAGGCAAGATTTGTTGCATTTCTTTCACTAGATGTAGAACAAAATTAATGGGCCTTCATAATGTACTGTCGTCTATATCGGCAGAAAATACCACGTGTTTGTATAATTTTACCTAGGCTGATAATAGCAAATCAGGGTCTGAAATCATTACTGAATTTGTTTACATTCTTGCAAGCAGACGGCACCCAGTTTTACTGGAGCACAGGTACAGTAACTAAAAGAATTTAGCAAAAAGCTCTTATCTGCTAACTTACTTATTCATCAGTGTATCGAAGTCCCCTTGAGCAATCCTCCTTGGTTTTGACTCAGTGATGACAGCAATTAAGTTGGTAAATGACCTCAAACCCAGCAGAAGCAAGGTGAAGTCTGTATCCATCATCATCAGCTCTGTTATCGCACAAATCACTGTCACTTGAGGAGTGCGAACCAACAGCTTTTCTTCACTTTTTTCTGCTACCGTAACCACTGCTACAAAATCCCGTAGAAAAGTCTCCATTCTCCACGCAACATCTCTGGCAACATTGTGCGCCGGCTTGCCAGCAAGATCTCCACTTGCAAGAGCATTAATTTTTTCAAATAAATCCCCGGAAAGTAGAAACGCAGAGCTCTCAAAGTCGGTTGAAAAATGATTCCATAAAAGACCTTCATCATCGTCTAGATGGACCCTGGCTGATCTCATTGAAATTTTACTTTACTCCTCTTGCAGGCAATGTAGGATGGTTTCAGAAATCGACGAGTCAAGGTGCTGAAGAATTTTTGTTAAAAGGCTTTCCTCATTAAAAGACAAAACTGCTTTAATGATACTCGTAGAGAGAGTTATATACAATTCCTTTGGATAGGGCGTGCTGAAAGCTCTTTTAAATAGAATTTTTAAGATGTGATTGCAAATGGTTTCGGAAATTTTGCAGTTTTTATAACAAAGGCCATGTAAAAGTGGAGCTTTAGAAAGTATATTCAGAGTAACAGTTCCTTCTTCATCGTTGTCGTCCTCCAAAAAGTAAGCGGTGAGTTCAGCAAAGGCTTCTATTGATACAATAGCAAGAAAGTAAAAGTCAGGATTTGCGATTTCTAGGAATAGGCATATAATAATCTTGCTTAAGTGTTCTTTGATAAGTGCAGCTTAGGTATTAGACTCTTAAGGGCAGCAAGACGTTTTGTTACATTTTTCGAGGTCTTACAAAGATTTTTAAAGCGAAAATCAAAGAGATGCACCCAATGTTTTGCCGTATTGTTTCTGAAGCCCGGATGCAGAGTGCGGTGTTACTTTTCTCCCCTTGTCAAAAAAAATTCACAACGTTGCAATTTGACTAGGTAAACGACTTTATTAAGTGCAAAAACAAACATTTTTTAAGATTCATGCTCCTGAGCAACAAATTCCACAAGCAGGAAATGCTACAAAAGCACCTAATATATAGACAGTTTAACAGCAACATCTGGTTAAAAATTATAGGAAATAAATGACAAATTATGTGTACCCAGAAACCACGCTAGAAAAATAGAGAATCTCTAAATCAAATGAATCAGACGAGTATAGCCAATGGTCGGAAGCGTGCTATTTTTTAAGTAATAGGCCATAAATTTGCACTGTCATACAAAAACTGTTAGAAAATCAGTATAAATGTATATTCATGAAATATGTGCAGACAAAACACACAAATATGTTCATGAAGAAAGTCACATCAGGTTTTATCGTGGATATGTGTGGTGGAAACGACCTTGGAAATTTCGTCAGCATTAGATCATATTATTTAAGTGCAAGTTGTCAAAATTAACTTTCTTAGTTTTTCTCCCTTCAAAAGTAGCTTTAACTTATTTAATAAAAACTTGTTCGAAAAACGAAGGCCAGCTGATTCAAGATATTTTATAAAGATTGCATTTACCCTGGTTGGTAGAAAACAATAATACAAGGTCTTTTAAAACAAATCCAAGCAAAATGGCTTTTCTCAGAACGCTTAAATCTGTAAATTTGGTTATTTCTCCGCGCAAGGCAATGTGAGAGCCTACATTTTTACAAGTTTTAGTAAATCATATCGATGTTTTTTGTCCTGGAATGTGGTGATAACTGTAATTGTAGAGCGAGACTCATCGGTCTCCGCCCCCTATTCCTAGCGTTCTTAGACAAGCCTAATTGATTCATTTTGGGCATATTTATTAGAGATGAAAAGATGGAGAGGGAGAATACAACGTTCAAGAAGCAGAGCAGCCGCAGTCACTAAGTACGGGAGAGGACGATCCGGTCACGAGATTCAAATTTCCGGCTTG